GTACACTGGTACACGAATATCCGGGATTGCATTATTTACATAAAAGGCCACGACACGAGGGTTAAAAATATGTATAGGTATGTGTATAATGTAGGTATTCCGTTTTTTTTGTAGTTTAGGTAATATTGCTTTAGGAGATTCTCTATTTACTAAAGCGTACCTATACCCTGAACGAAACTGGACATAAAATAATATGTTATTTAAACTCAAACTATAATTAAAATTAAAATAAATAAATGATTTAAATAAATGTTTAGAAAATGAAATCAATTAAAAGCCAGTACAGTGGGGTCGGGACATAGTGGGGACGGAGAGGTCACAGATTTACAGGTTTTTATTATAACTGAAAGTGATAAAATCACTTCGATGCGAATCTGTGGATAGTATGTTCAAACTAGTTATAGTGGTTTAGAAGATGCAGGGTGGATACGATAAGGGTTGATCGTCTGTCTATAAAAATGTACTGTCATGGTTACCCATATATAATTAACAATATAATTAAAATATTTTCATTGCCTGTTGACTGTTGATTCACACACACATAGCAACCTAGAAACCGACTACGGATAAAGTGTGCAACAGAAAGCAATACCTCTATTGTATTTGTAAGTATTATGTTTAAAAGAAAAAGCGAACATTTTTTGTTTAGTTTTTTCCTTTGCAAAGTTTACTAGAGCCCCGAAATCAGATAAATAGCAATAATAATTTAAGTTCTTAAATAAATTTAGAGAATTTGTACAACACGTTTTACTATTCTTTTAAATATTAGTAATTTATTTGCATACAAATATATTATAATGAATAGTTAAATACTACTCTGTTATTACACACTCTGTACAGTACCCAATAACACATTTTAATAACACGTTTAATTCACATTTCCAAATTACCAAATTATAGAAGAGATGTCAAGGCGACTTTAAAATTGAACCAATATCAAAAATATAATGAATTCTACTACTATTGTGTTTATTCACATTTTCCCACCTTTTGGTAATAATAATTTTGAGCAACCATCAGTTGCCATAATATATTTTTCTGACAGTTAAAGATGTATCTAACAGATTACTGATGACAACATAAATATTAGCAGATTAAACTACATTTTACAGACTACAATATTATGTTGTACGTCAAAATAATATTACGAGAAATCCTCAAAAAGTATATACATGTACAACATACATACATTAACAATGTATAAATTGTACGTCCATTATACACTGGACTTAAATCTACAGCGTAATATTTCAACGAGTTTATTAAAATTTATATTTTATTAAAACGCTCCTAAATTTTTCTTCGGCGGAATAAAATATTCATCTAAACTAAAGTTTTGCACAAAGCTAGTAAGTTAGAAAAACTTTATCGGTTAGAATGGTAATTGAATAATATATTAGGTCTATTAGTTATAATATACATTTAGATTTTGTATACGTTTTAAACGCACAAGCATCTCAAAGTGAATTTTAAACACATTTAATTTTCAAAATATTCTGTTCAACAACTATTTAATTACATACCCGGTTCAAACTGTTACGGTGAGTGACCAAATACTGTATGAATTTTTTTTCTATGTAATATATCATATTTTTATATATATTTTACTGAAACACGCATAATAACAATACAATTTTTATTTTGTGGCCATGGCATTAACTAAAAAGTGTGTTGAGCAAAATATTGTTTATATTTAGAATAATCCTGGCAAAAAACATTGCTAGCTTAAATTGTCTGTATAATTGTCTTGTATTGGCATGCGGTCGACAACATTAGCACTTTTTATATTATTATAGTAGCAATTCGCACAATCTAAAAATCTTTAAAAAAAATTGTATACTGAACGCGCGAACTGCAATAAAATGAACGGCTGTATACCTACTATAATTTAGTAAAAATAAAAACTTCAGATGAAAATAGGTCAATTTCAGAAACTGTATACTTAAACGATTATCTATGTTCTAAATACCCATACGCTTAGGTTTAGTTCATTGGGTAAAGCTAATAGTTGTTTTTTATTAACTAAGTAGATTTTACGTAAAACCTTGCAATCATTAGCATAGTTAGCCATCAGCATTATTAACATAATAATCAGCAAAACTAGCCATTAGCATTATTAAACATCATGGGCATAATTAGTTATCCTGAACTCTGAAAATTATATGAAGTAGCGAAAGCAGATAACCGGTGCTCAGATTCGCGACAAACCCTCGGAAAAGAACAGCTTGAGTGCTTGTATTGGTATGATCATTTTTTTGGCCATATTACTGTAATTTTTGTATGAAATATTAAGCTCAATGAATATTATACTTGCTATGTTTCGTTTTTTCTACCATATATTCGCCTATTTGATAAAACATAATTAATAACTTGTCTAATGAGATGCCGATCGTAAAATATTTATAATAACACAAATCGAGTTACTTTATTTAGATGACAACTGATAAGTAAGAAGTTGTCTTTCGAAAATGACTTAACATTTTTTCTGTCATGGAAATTGTGTAGTTTTAACTTAGTAAACAACTGATATCTTATTTTTTTTAAAAGTCTTACCCAATTAATTAGTTTACTTAAAAATAATATGGTTCCGCTCAGGACCTAATTGGAAATTCATTTATTATAAGTTTAAGTACGTATTTCGAACATTTAAGGACAAGGTTCAATTTTTCATTAAAAATTAATAATTTATTGGAAATTTATATTTATTAAATTCCTGTAGACAAAGGACATAGCAACAGAAGCAATTCTGTACTATGGGACTAGAGTAGGGTATAGTCATTAGGAAGACGTCAATCTTCATCCAATAGTTTCTTTAGTTGACTAACGTTATAACTTATTTAATTTAATTATTTATTTACTGGTAACCAATTATTGTCTCTTGTAGTGTTTTATTATACAGTAATAGCAAGATTTTCGATAAAATATAAAACTCAAACAAATTACAAAACTATTTCAAACCTTATATTGAACAATTTGATTGCAAATAAAGTAAAGCACATTATATCTTTATAGAGAAACACCAGAGACACAAAATACACACATATTTCGGGATATTCTAAAGCTAATTTTAAAAAAAAGGTTATTGTTAACGACGCAGGTAGGTATTATAAATTGCTATTAAAAAAACATGTATACTTACAAAAAGCAACCTTATGTTAGTGGTTAAAATTTCAATAAATGTCACAACATTTTATAACAAAAACATGTATATAATATATATTATATAAACAAATAATGTAGAATGGATACATATGACACATAAAAGAATATATAATATATAGATACATATTTCCGTGTAGCCTTTGTGGTTAGTCTGTGTACACTGTACATGCATTTTCGATATTAAATAATTTAAAACTGTATTCCGTCATACACACATACTATGAATATTATTACTTGCCGAGATCAGCCACGTCAACTCGACTCGATATTATTTTAATACGCTCGGCGTGGTAGTATATACAATAATATGGGCTTGTGCTTACAGCTTAACCGGCATTAAGTTTACAGGTGAATTGTGATGAGGTTAAATTTGAACGTGCACGAGTGCATTAATCTATGATGGCCATCATTTTCAGGTCGCAACTTTATGGGCTAGTAATTCGTCATGGTCTAATGACGGTTGATACACGTGTCCCGTGGACGTAGAGAATTATTTGTACCGCGTAAACAGCACCTGAATTAATCCCCAAGTGTTAACTCCGGGGTTTAGTTAACCGTTATTAATGTTTTCTGAAATAATCGCCCGGTCGTGTGTGTGTGTGTGTGTTTCGCATACCAACTCTAATTTATCAGTACACCAACCCTTGGTCCGAAGTAAGGTAATGGTAGCGCATCGGTTTCAGCGAAAAATCTACGAAATTTTAATTATTTATTTGTACAGCCGTGAATTAATGTCGAAATTTAACTGCTATTTCTCTTTTGGCGGCCCGTCCAAACGCATAATTGACAAACGTACCGAAATAAAGTATAATTTCTTAATCAAAAACAATATATACCTATATAAATAAATATATATATATATATATATATATATACACACATTTAAAATAGTATTTGTTCAAAAGTTTCAAATAGTATATCGTTCGGTAATATTTTGATTAATCTAATATATTCCATACGTATGTAGTTCTGTATACTTCCAAGTTATACACGCATACAAAATATGTATAAAGTCTTGCTATCGGAGAAAATTCAAAATGGCTGTCGACATTTAGCAGCTGTCAGTCTACCCGTTTAGCAATTTCTTCGTGTCAACTATATGCTTTAATAGGAATCTTAGGTTCTTGTTATTGGATAGATATCACTTATTCACTACGACTCGTACATTACGAGCACCGGTGGCCACTATAAACTCGGTGATAAAAGTTTTTATGATCAGTCTCTAAGAATGCAACGACGTCAAAATAGAGCGAACACATTCATCGTTAAAACTTTTACTGTCGCGATAGAAACACATTTGTTTCAATTATGCGCGACGCTAAAGTCTCGCGAGCCAGTAATGTGAGAACGTTAAAATTCGAGTTGAAATCAACTATCTGTAAATATTTTCCATTCTGCGCCATTGTTATTTTTACTGTTCAGGTTTAACACCTTCTTAAAAACCATAAATATTAAGTGATTGTTTTTCATCAGCGTTTCGTCTTAATTTGGTTTCGCAAAATTATTTTAGAAATTCCGCCCCGTCGTCTAACGTGTACGGCACAAACTTGTCCTTCGGAAATGAACAAACAACATCCTTAAAACGCTATAGAGTGATTTTTCTTTAATAGTATAAACTATGGTTTTATAATAAATACCTATAGCATATATGCATCACATTAACACAAGCTATAGTGGTAATCATATACTTTTTGAAACTATTTTAGTATATTATAGTTTCAATTTTTCAGCATAAATAAAACTGTTTTATATAACATATATTATATATATATATGTATCTTTGTATAATTGTACACCTACATAATTCATACTAATAACTAAATTTTTTTTTTTTTTAGTTCAAACTGAAGCAAGAGAAAGAATTACCTGCACGCCGTGGACGTCAAGATTGCCAAAAATGGCACAGCCTGATTTAGATTACATAGGTTCGTATTCAGTCATTTTATATCTAAAATTATATTAATTATTCACAATTTGATACTTAATTATATTTATAAATAAACTATAAGTTTGCATCAACATGAACTTTAAATTCCAACAAAAGTTTTAATGGATTTTCCAGGAGTTTCTCTTTTTTGTAATGGGATGGTTATGAAAACTACATTTTTGTTTGTGATGTCATATTATATTTTAAACTCCTCTATGCCAAATGAGGGAACTAATGACGCGATAAACGATTTTCAATCGGTTGTGTATTTAATTATAAGTCCATTTGATAAACGCCTGGCTAAATGTAATCCGGCTTACATGCAATCCCTTTGCATATGATAATCTCTTGGTACACTTGTAGGTGAATAACTGTTTACGTTGTATCAAACTAAATGCACTTAACTATTATTATAACACTGCTTTCTCGTGAACACCAATTTATATAAAGTATTTTTAGGAATTTATGCTGTCTAGGTTAGACAGTAGACCCCCATCATAAATAATTATTTTAAACTCGACTGTAATATTTTTACTGGTATAGTTGATATGTGATGTGTATAATAACTTAGTGTACATACAATCGTATAACATTTCAAACATTATATATTGTTCAACTGAATTATTATTAGACTTAGTATATGTCACGTTCAATAATATTACAAAAATGAAAATTAAAATATTACATAGAGCAAGAAACAAGTGAAGTTTGTGTTCCATCCACGACAGTTACATGACGTTTCTTGTTTTCATTGCGTCTCGGTTTTTAGTCGGTAAATCACATATAACAATTTTCTTACAAACACATTATAATATATGCATTCTGTATTGTACATTCTAATGAGTTTTGCATTAAACATTGTTACCAGTCGAGTAGGTAATGCAGGATCGTTTAATTTCACACTGGCTTAGGCGTGGTAGTGTTTACTTGCCTCACTCTTTAAACCACTGCTGGTTTACATTATCAACAATAAAATATTTTCAAATTTATTTAAATGTGACCTAGTCAGGGCTTTTGAAAAGGATAGAGCTATGGAATTTTGCAATGATACATTTTATAAATGTATTGCTTTAAAACATAACATATATAACTGAAAGCCTTTTTTTATTACCGCTGTAGTTAATAGTAGAACAACCAATGATTTTTGCAATTTAGTCAACAATCGAACAAAGACTACAGTAAATATTTTGTAATTGCCTTAAATATTCAATCTAGCAAAAGAGTACAGAATAAGGATAAGCTAAATAACCTGAATTTAAAAATATCGTTTTTAACATGGATGATACTTTTAGCCTTGTGGGCAAAATACTAATTAACATTGTTTTCACTTTTGTGTACAGTTTAACTGATTAATAACGAATATGATGTTTCCAGCTCCTGAAGTCCAGCTGTCTTCCTACTGTAGTTCCCACAGCGATATGTTTTCATTAGGAATGGTAATATTTGCTATATTCAACAATGGCCGACCACTGATACAAGCCAATCACAGCAGCTCGACGTACATGAAACAACTGGACGTGGTAAGTAAAACTCATTTTCATTTCAAACTTTAGGTTTTATTTGCATATTTATAGTTCTATGTTATTGCATAATACAGAAAACGTACTAATTGAATTACTATAAAATTTATAAAATTTAATTTCTATAGTATGGTTGTATGTATTTCATTAAATGTATTATCTCTCTCTCGTTAGGTATATATATATATAGATAACAATTGTGGATGAAATTGTTATTGTACAACAAATATTAATGGGTCATAAGGGTGGAAGCGTGTGATAACAATATGACCGTAATTATAAAAGATAAATTAACTTAATAAATTTAGGTCAACGTACATGGATGTAAATTACAAGTAGTTTACTTTTACCTTTTCGAAATAGATAGAAAAAAAACATCAACAATTAACAAAATAAATGCTTTGAAATGTGCTCGGTGCTTATGCTGCCGAACAAACTTTGTCGACACAACCTACACTGTCGCTGACAATATGTATGTAAACATCCTTTGAAAATGTCAGCAACAGATGTCCGTGACAAAGTTGTAACAACTGAATTGTTTATTTGTTACTGTACTGAACCGTGTGGATATAATAATAAAACTTTCTGATGAATTTAGAACCATCCAAATCACATTAAAATAACTGTTACAAGGAAGCCGAAATATTTAAGGTATATCATTCAAATTTAAAATAACATTCAAAAAGATAAATTCTAATAAAGCACCAGAAAATTCTTAGGTTCAATTCTAACAGTTTGAATAAGTATCAAATGATTAAAAACAAAATTGAATATATTTTCCTATATATATCCTTAAATATCTATGAATATATATTCTTATATTTTGTTTTAACTATTATAATAAAAGTTCATCAATCATCATACGCACATATTACACATTACGCCTTAAAAATTAAGTCTAACAATTTTATCATAACATATTGTATCGAAATTCAATAACATTTATCTGATAATTGTTATTAAATGTATTTTTGTAACGAAATAATTAATTTAAAACTTGAGTTACGTGGAATAAACCTTTATAATTTTAAATTTACAAAACTAGTGTTAATTATACATCAAGCATTTTTCATGTTTTCAATTTCTGTAACGTGACTTTTAGTTCGTAACTACAATTGAGCGATTTCTAAGTATCAAGATAATAAATAGTGATTTGTTTTTATTGGCCAGTCTTCGACTTTAAAAATTACCATCCGTATTCGATAACTTCATGTTCAACATAACATTTGCTATTGAATATGATGTTTGTAAAACCTAGAAAAAAATTGTTTTTATTACTATAATTAGCCCGCTACAATAATCTATATTTATTTATCCATATAAAACAATTTAGCAATACACATAATATTCAACATTTTTATGTCTTGTGTCATCGCCAATCAACGAGTTTGGTACTATTTTATTTATGCGTTAAATTTGCAAAAGCATCACCAATTTATCCTTATGAATAATTCAACATTCTCGTTGAACTTACACTCAAAAACAACTTCAAATCGATATTTTTTGTCGGTGTAGCTCTAATTTTCAACTGATTCGCATTATTCATCGTCATCGCTAACAGCATTAATTGTCGAAATCGGATATCCGCTGTAGTCCAGTTACAACTGTATAGTCCAAAATTTAAACCGTCCCTCTAAACCCACAGAAATATTTGTATTCATATTAGTCAAGTCTGTATAGTATAATCTATATTACCTCCTCGTTCATAACGTCCGAAAAATATAGGTGCATGAATAACTCTGCAGCGATACTGGTGTAACTGACAATGAATTTCAATAGACCAATAAAATTGACAGGATAAGTTGAAAGTAACTGCAAAATGTAATAACATTTGTACTATTGTTAAGATAATAAAAGTAATATATTCATTTCAGATTTTCCAGTAGTATCATTCATTTTATATAAAATACATAAGCAATAACTTATAGTTATAAGTATATAAAAGTAGAATCGGATAACGAGTATTCAACAAATCTAGGCCTTAACGAGATAGAGCTTTCCTAAAATGAACTCTAAAAAACTCTGAAAAGTTCATTTACTTATTATAATTACCTTTATAATTAATTATGATAATGTTAATGATCGAACATAGCAGTATTATTTATGAACACCTATTTAGTGTGCCCATAATAGGTTACTTATTTAGAAGTTTTTATTTTTAAATTGACGTTTAGCAAATAGAACTTTTATAATAAAATGAGCACGAAAGAAAAATAAATCAACAAGGATACTGGCATATAACTGAAAAATCTGAAACAAACTTTAACGAAATGATAAAATACCAATGCGATGTTATAAGCACATGTTATGAGTGTGCAAGAATAACAAATAACATGTAATAATGCACTGAAACGAACTATGGAACAGAATTCTCTCATATGCCTAAAAACATATTAAACAAAATACACACAGTTTAGAAGAATGTATTAAAACAATTTTAAGACAAGACGTAATTGATTTAAGCTTACAAATGCACTTTTTGGCAATATGAAATTGTAATTATTAATTCCTCGTACATTTCGTTATCTATACAAACAATATAACATTAAACAAAATTAAATTAAATGCACCATATATTACAATTTTTTGATTAGTCGCTAATTGACTTTAGTCCGGCGCAATCCGTGTACGTTTTCCTAAATTTGGTCCAGAGGACAGCATAGCACAGAGAAAAATTGTACCTTTAAATTATTGTAAAAATGTTATTAAAAGTGATATAACTGTTTTTGGCTGATAGAGTGAATTTTGCCTGGAATTCAATTATTAGGTTATGACATTAATAGCAATTGGGAATAACTTGACTAATATGTCAAACAAGTAAGTATATTACTTAAAAAAAACTACAACAAATTAAGATTTAATAAAATCCTTTTTTGTTGTAACAAAATTAATTTATTACTGTGTAACTCTGCAATACTCTTTAAACCATATTATTGTAAACAACTAATAAGTAATGCGACTAAAGCCTATTTAACAAGAATAAAAAACGGATAGCAATATTCAAAGTTTACTAATAGAATTCATTACCGTATAATATTATTCATATTTATATTTTTAAACGCTTACTTGTGTCGTTACTGTCGTGTCCAAATTTGATTAAACTTGATATTAAAATTTTATAATGGGTAGTTAATGCTAAGCAAAGTGAGAAATAAAATATATCAAAAATAAAAGTGTAGAATGTAAACAAAACGGGTAACGATGCTTCAATCATATAAATTAAATAAAAATACCTATTGTAGTACTGGTCAGAAATTGGATAGTAAAAATGAATTACGTTTATGTCTATGAAACCATTTGAATCGTTGTTAGACATTGTATAGTTATGAAGAATTGGTAAAACTGTCCATACAAATACGGTGAAACAAGTCAAAATCCAATAATAAAAAAACATTGCACTTTGTTTTTTGAATCTTAAAATATTTTCATTGTCTAATGGACATTGCCCACTAATGAAAAAATCGTTACATGTGGTATCTAATAATTTTGAAATTTTGTTACCCTTTCTGATTATTGTAATATATTTTTGTATGGATACAAGACCTAAAATATAAATCGTAACTATTTGACTTAATCTGTAACTGTCGCTGGTAGGATTATTTGTGTATATTTTGTATGAGAGACCAATAATACTGAACAAAAGTATTATGACGGAGTATATGACTAAGATGAAATTCATATTTGGCCATTGTTTAATAATCCAAACAACTGAACAGAAGCGTTTCAAGAATCCATTGTCAATCATTGCTTCTTTTTTACCATTCAACAAATCAACCATGTTCTTTTGTGCCTGAAATAAACCCGTTGAATCGTTATTATATAATTTAGTAACAAGTAATTTAAGGTCTAAATCATGTATTTCAATAAAAATAATAAATTCAAATTATACCTCCTAAAGTCAACACAATTCACTATTTTCAAAATTTTATTTTTATTTTATCGTCATATATTGTTGATACTTTTAGATAACAATAATTTGAAACATACATATTGCGCTGTAAATATAGAAAATATTAAAAAATCTGTGTAATTATAAAAAAAAAACCGAAATATGCTAAAATATGTAAAAAAAATACTTTGGAATCTGGAATCTTTAAAATGTAATTCAAAATTGTCTGGGTTTAATTTTTACCATAGAAATAAAACTAAAGCATATGACTCTTTGTAGAAGGTAATTGAGTTTTATTTAAAACAAACACTAATAAGTAAAATTGAACACGATCGATCGAAATTCACCGTACCGCACTGCTACACGTTTATAGTGGACGTCTGAGTTGACACTAATATTACAAAAAAAAAATAATAGGTAAACGCCATGACCAGATATTTTATAATATCATGCTGGCCGTTTGACCTATACACAATAATCAACTACGTAGTTTTTACTAAAAAAAAAACTACATTGTGATAGACGACAGTTACAAGATTAATATTTAATTTATTTTTCTAAAAGCATATTTAAGCATTGGACAAGCGGTATTTAACTTCATTAAGATTATAGTTTATAATAAGTATTCTGAAATATCATATAAAAAATTCACGTTAGTTAAAACGGAATATTAGATTAGTCAAATAAGGAAATATACGAAGTAAATAGTTTAAACCTATCCAGATGATTCTAAGGTTGGTTCCACCACATTAAACTAACCTTTTATTATGCTGGCTTATAAACGAGCCACAAGATTAGAGACATGAACCTCATTATAGAACCTTTTGTCATATGCTAAATTATATAGAACTTATTTAGGTGTATTATTCAGCTATTCTAGACCAGTAGAATTAAAATAGGTAGTACTAAAATCACATATTCAATAAAACGCTTCGATGGGAATCTGAAGATACTGGACACTACCTTTGGCAATGTCCAGTATTATTATATTACTGTGCTGGTATGGCTGCTGGTTTGTAATGTGCTGGATTTTTACTTTTGCAGTTTCGCATCGAAGCGTTTGTGATAAAATCACATTCAGATTAAATAATTGCGCTGACACACATTTGCTAACTTTTTTAATATACTATCATCTAATATAACTTTTTTCATATCATTATTATTAAATGACTGTGTTTTTATTACTATTTTTTTAAAACAATTTTTATTACAGCGCCCTTAAGCGTTTAATAACATTTTTCTTGTTATACATTAAAACAATATAGTAGTATTATACTATGTATAATATATATCTCTCATATTTCCTCTTGAAATATTTTTTAAAAAATCGTCATATGACGCTTAAATAAATATCCAGTTTAATAATATGTATTACGGTGCAAGGAAAACCACTATTTTTATAGTGTAACAATTTTTCAAAGCTATAATAATATATTGGCCCTGTCAAATTAAATAATCGTATAAAACAAGGGATCGTTTTTGGAGCGTGAACCATCGCAAATCCTTTATAATGTTTATATTATTAAACGTATTTACTATAATATTATATTAACTTGTACGTGTTTTTTCAGCTGGAAAATCAAATACACAACGTACTTCCAAAAGTTCCTGCACAATTACAAGAAATGGCATCGAAGATGCTCAGTAAAGATGTTGACGCGAGACCGGCAGTAAAAAATTTACTGCATACGCCTTATTTCTGGTAACCGTTTAGTTAATTATTCGAAAAGTGATGTAGCACATTAGATGTTTCAATATACAATATAACCCTTGGAATTCGGTATTGGGTTTACACAATATGATGTATACATAGCCGGAAACTAATTATTATTAAACGGTTTACTCGAGCGAGATCCTTCTGAAAACTATATAATATGCATAATACATGTAAAATTATAATAATTCATGTATTTAAATATTGTTTGTTGATAATGAAAACGTAATTTTGAATTGTAGGTACGTGTGTGTATGACTTATATTATACATAATAATAGTTAATATATTAATATATTATGAACCGGGGTTTCGAAATTGCATAAGACAGTGATTTTTTCAAATATTATGTGTTTTTGTGTTTAAAAATATAATAATAAGTAATCACATTTGTAAGCTGATCCAATATAGTTTTTATCTCGATGTAAACTTAGAAGGTGTTTTACAAATAACATTATCTTCGGGTTCAAAAATTCTGAAGTTTAAATGAAACTTAACGACAAATACTTTAGACTGATTTGAATGTGTGGATTTAGTTACTCAATAAATACTTTAAGATAGCTAAACGCTTGTAAGTCAAGCCAGAAAAATTAATAGGGTTACACTAAATCCAACGTTTTTGATTTGCAATCTCAATTAGTTAAGCGTTTAATATTGTCTATTGTGATAGTAGTGTTATGTCGCGCTGAGGTAAACGCATGCACTATAGCAACATGATCCACAATATTCGGGTATGATTGATTTCAAATAAAAATAAAAACACTTAAACGGCATTTTTACACACCAGTCGAAATCGAGAACAAGTTCTCCTTCTATCTGCTCGCTCCTGTTAGTCGTGTTGCGGAGAGAAACACATCAGAATAACAAATCCGCAGATAAAAACCTGCAATTGAGATTACTCTTTTGAATTCCTGGCGGCTGGCAACTCGTTGATCGATTTACCTTTTGCGCAGCCGATAACCGAAATAAATATTCGCTCAAAAACGATTATAATAATATATTATGGTGGCGGCTTTGAGAACGAATTTACATTACATTCGATTTTGGCTTGTGCAAAGTTAAATAATTGCGCGCGGTTGCGGATGGGAACCGTTGAACGGCTCAACGATTACATATAAAAAGGAAATAAATAATGCGACAGGGGAAAGTATAAGCGACTGTCGATTCGGAGTTATAAAATAAAGACATTATGTATATATATATATATGTATTTATTGGATGTTGTATAAATACGTATGGAATAGATATAATCACCGATTAAAAAATTTTTTTAAAAATGTAGCGTTTAGTAAAGCGCACAGTGGTACACACGCAGCATATAAGTTTTTCTTTAAAAAAAACATTTTCGTTTATGCTATTTTACAAGAAATATTATTGATAATTGTATAATATAAAATTATAATTTCTTAATATTAACTAAATATTTACTTTCATATTTTAAATATTTTGATAATATTTTTCACAGATTTTTAATCTTAACTGTTAACGTATATATTTAACTAACTTTTTTAATTAAGAGTAATTTCCTAAAATAAATAAATATATTAATAAAGAACTACTTATAATTAGTAATTATCTTTATGGATGGAAAATGAGTATCTCAAGTGAAATGGATCACTCTGTATCTAACCGAACGTCCTCAGTGATGACAATATTAGCTTTGGCTGTTTCATTTATAAGGTCGCTGATTGCTAATAGTGTTTATTCTTTAGTCTGCGTTGGTTGTTATAAAAATTATTATTATTCTTACATGAACATCAAAATATCGAACACGGTTTTGGCTTTTGCATATTATATTTCATCATAATTATTATTAACTTTACAATTATTTTGATGAGATAATATTTATAAAATATGTAGACACGCGCTTATTATGTGACATTTTGAAGAAAAAATATTGTTATTTTTTCTTAGCTTTAATGCGCCGAGTATGGCAAACACTGAACTACCTGGGGGAATAGATAAACGTCCTTTGAAAATTATTGTGAAAATAAACTTTACAAAGGTCCCTTGCGAGTCAAGAGTACTAAATGACCCAACCTGGTAAAAGATCAATATTTGAGGTTCACCTTTTCTTTTCATTCAACCAACATCTATAGCTTTCCAAAGTGTTTTTTAATGTCTTTTGGGTGAACTAGAGTTAAAACACAAGCGATATGTTTATATTACACAAAAAGAGCCGCATATAATAATATGTATAAAGAAATAGAGTAAAACATACATTTTATATGCATAGTTAAGTAGATTTATCTTGTTTTAAAATAGTCTGAAGAACATTAACGTGATACCTACATAAAAAAATATATTTTTTAATTCTCCTAGCTGTAAGATACGCTAGTTTTAATGTGGTTTCATTCTTTAATTGAAATCAACTTACTTTAGTCCTCTTCAAAATAATAAATGAAATCCTCATGCAAATGTTAGATTATAATTTAAAAGAATCGATACAGTTTCTATTAATTAAGTTTAAAAACTGTTTTCTATCTAAATTTAAAAAAAAAATAAGAAAGATAAATGCCCGCCTCTTTCCGGTATATCATTGTTTTTAGATCTACTAGAAGTTTTTTTTTGATTTTATAACAGGCTATAAAAAAAAACATTTTGTAAATGTTAATTGATTCATAAATTATAAACTATATTTTAATAATTTTCCATTAGCATCTACAAAAATGTATTCTACTTTATTAGCACCATTATATGTAAGTACTTAAAAACTTTTTACGTTAAAAATAATTTTCGGAAACATTATGAACAAATTACTTCTTACGTTTTAACTTTTCCTATACTTAAATTTTATTTTTAGATCCGCTTCATAATATCTAAGTACTCGCCTTGCATTAACTGATAGTTTTTATAATGGTAGTTAGCGCAAATTAATGTTTACACGGTATAGACTTGCTTATACATTGGGAGGTGGCTAGAGGGGTTTAGTTCACTTAAATGTCGATACATAAAGGGGCCCGGGTAAATTAATTACACGTGTTATTAAACTTGTATTTAATGAGTACATACTTTGAAAGGAACTGTTTTCATTTTAGTATTAATTTACATGTATTATTCTATCATATATATAATAAATTAGTTACATAACATAGTATACTTTTATTACAGTGACAGATTTGTGGAAACTATACAAACGTTGGATATAATCAACATGAAAGACCTTACGCAAAAATGTCAGTTCTACAAGATAACATTGAAAGAATCGTTGCCATTCATTCCAAAGGTAATTTAACTGACTAAGTACATAGATTTGCATCCTATCTATATAGGTAGCATGATATGGAAAGATATCATGCTACAATATATTTTTTTAGTCTTAGTAGACATCTAATGATAATATCATAAACTAGTAATTTTTGTGTTTTGTCTTATACAAATAATATGGACAATTTGACTGAATAATTATTGTATATAATTAAATAAAATTAGCTGGGTGCTCAGCTTCAATGCCAAGCTGAGAGAAGATAATATTTTGAATTATAATGTAATTTAACTTGTTGGAAAATTAGTTTATATAATATAATAGTATTTCTGGCTTAAAAAATGTATGTAAAAATGACAATTTTACAATAGGGAATTTTAAAGTATTTCTATTATATATGATTAACAATAAAGGTTTACAGTTTATGCAACAAAAATAAACAATTTCTATTTATGTTTATATTATACACAGTTTAAAAAACACATTATGACCAAAAATGTATTTGTAACATTTTTTTAATTAATCCATTTTTTTTGTATATATTCTGATTAACATATTTTGTATTTATTTTCTTTAATACTTTATTAGTAATCATATATTAAGGTGAATTAAAACCATAATATTAACCATATATTTAACCATAATACCGTACACTTAAAGTGATAGAACGATTTATTACTTCTAAAACTTACACTTAAATAAAACATTTTTTTACAATTTTAATACTAACATGACATTTTTGTTCTTGCCTGTAGGTTATCATCATGCCAAACAAAAGTATTAGTTATATTTATGGTTCATAATATGTAAAAGGCTTAGGTACAGCCTTACAGAAAATATATCTATTTGTAGATGGAGAGATTTAGGTGTTTTTTTATTAACAAATACGAGAGTTCGATAGGATTAACGGAAAACAGATAAAGTATCAACAAAAACATAATATTTCAAACCGTTACTTGACATATGTACATTTACAATGGCGTTATTTCTGTTTCGTAGATAGTACGGGCGTTTTAAATTATTTTGTTTCCCTCTACAAATTCTTCTCAGAGTTAAACATATTATGCATAAATACTATTGCCAGAATATAAATATATATAAAAAAAAAAAAAAAAAATTAGGGAACTTGCTGTTGTACTTTAGCTTAGTTTAGCTTAGTACAGACCTTACAAAATACAATTAAGGAATAATGTATTTAACATAATGATGTTATACAAATATTGCAAACGGTAAATTTAAGTACGATAGGTAAACCGCATCGTCTTCTGAAAATACGTTGTATGGTACTAAATGTAAAACTTCATGATTTAAGCTTTTTTAATCCTTAAACCACGTTTATTAATGACATCGCTATTAAAGGATTATAAGTTCTGCAAGACATCGTGAATTACATTAGTGTCAATGGAACGCTGATAAATGGAGTGTTGTGTTACTTGAAATTATTAAAGAAATAATAAGATAATATAATATTATATTATATTATACGATATTATAAGTAAAAACGTCCGGATACACATTAAAATACTAAGAGCTTTAAGTAAAATGTTTACTTGTTAGTTGTTACTATTATTTATTTCATTTTTTAATTAAATTTTCATCCATTTAGTTTACTCTAACTAATGGTTGCTTACGTTATGAAAACTGCAATATGTCCTATAGGTACGTTTAGGCATGATATATGACTTCCGGACAGACTTGTAAATTGTATAACATCCCAAATATTACTTGAATTGAAGCAATATCACACAGTCACGCTATATGTTAATAAACATTAGGAACGTTTTAGTGTAGAGCCAATGTCCTTTGTAAGTTTAAAATTTTTTTTTTTAAATATATGATTCATTTCACCCATCACTACAAGACAAAATATTTGCATACTTAAGACTAATATTTATATACTTAAGTATAGTTATAGTTTAAGCATGTTATTAATCTTGTTTAATACAAGTAATATTCTATTATACTAGATAAATAATATGAACTTGACAAATATTCAAAAACAAAAGTAATTAAAAATGATTTTACAAAAGTTATTACTTTAAAACTCGCTTATTTAAAAAGGAAGTATTACATTTTTTTTTAAATTTATTTAATACAAATTTTTAAAGTAATATGAATTATAAGACTTTCAATAGCTGTTTTCATTCAGGAAAAATGTAATTGAATACTGCACATTTTCTTCATATTTTAAAACTAAAACTTTTCCACATTTTAAATAAACATTTTTCAAATGTTCAATTGAGTATATGTTTAATACATAAAATATTAACCTTTTTATTGAGTCACCATGTACTGTCGAACACAAATAATATAGTACAGAATTTAATATAATTGATTTTTTCTGTATACACCTTATTTGACAAAACCATAAGTTACCAGTAAAGTAATAAATAAACTCTAAGGGTTTACTTATAATTTCCAAGTTCAAATAACTTTCTAGACATTATATACAATTATAAAAAAATATATATATCTAACGAAACTTTAAAATAAGCACAATTCTGTTGTAAGTAAAATAGTTGTTGTGTAAGTTGTATAACGAGTATACCGAGAAATTGTTTGAGTGTAATTACTCTCAAGTTGTTTACTGACTAATTTAAAATTTAAATTCCTTATTAAAACTCTTTCTTCAAGCATGTTTCATTTTCAAAAAATACGATTTGTATAATTTGTACAAATACTAAAATATTTTGAATAAATTTAATTTACAAATGAACTTAATTTTTTTCCTAACTGAAAGAAATATTTTTTTCGTTAATATGAATTTAACATTAAATAATTAAGTTGACAACTATATTATAATATTATTTATGATATTACTATATTTTGTTGATGTTACAAACCTTGAAAACACTTTCATACTACACAAAACATGATATGTTTAATAAGTTGTACCTCTACAAACGCAGTCATGTATTTTATTAAGCAGTCAATTTGTTTTACCACCTCTGGCTGTTAAGAATTGTATTATTTACAAACAATTTCTTTAAGATATTGACCATAGGGTTGAATAAAAGTTTTATAAAAACATAACTTTTATTGTTTTTAGAAAATTTGGTACCAAAGAGTTTGGCCATTTTTGCAACACGAAATGGTGAAATCTGATGTGTCCGCTGCCGTCTTGCATCCTGTCATATTTTTGATACAAGAATCTTCTCTAGAAGATTACGAAACGCTAATGTTACCTGCCATGAGGTAATAAGATTAATGTTGATTTGGTAGCAATGTGACAAATGACCGTAAAACATTAGTTACAATATTTTACATCCATCGAATATTGGCTTGACGATTGGTATATGATAATAAGACATTTTTGTTTATGTGTTCAGTAAAATATTCAACGGGCCAAAACACGTTCCTGTACAAGTGATACTACTAGAAAACTTGCACGTTATATTAGAGAAAACACCAAGAGATGATATCAGAAAAGAAGTGTTGCCATTGTTATATACAGCTTTTGACTTTTCAGACATCGAAGTACAGGTAAGGTTGAATTTTAGTAAGAATATATATGGAATAGTATTTTAAAATATCAGACATCGTTGTCGCTGAAAACATTTATAAAACTATGCTTGCCCATCATTTTTGCCAGCGTCTATGACTGAACTATATTACTAATTCTGACATTGCAATATCGTTTCCATACTTCATATTTTATTTTTTGAAATATATTCCAGATTTTTATCTATTATAAACCAATTGTATTAATATAATTCAAAATCAGTTCAATCTTTGATAGAAGACCTTTGTATCCAATTTGTCTCTTTGCAATAAGATACATCAGTATCATTCGGAACAGTCCTAAGAGCCCGGAGGGGAATAATTTTCCCTCGACTGATACTATTCAAAAAGAATACTACATCAACATTCATGAATACATTTACTGTAAACAAACAAAAACTTTTCGGTCCTAAATATAAGAAAGTATATAAGTGATAAAAGAAAGTAATATAAGTGGTATAACACGTGAAGTGTACGTCTTGAAGCAACGATAGAAAAAAATGTCCTTTGAACAGTATTTAGAGTAAACGTAGAAAATGTAATGTTTGCAGTTTTTTTGTATACTACATTCATGAATACATTTACTGTAAACAAACAAAAACTTTTCGGTCCTAAATATAAGAAAGTATATAAGTGATAAAAGAAAGTAATATAAGTGGTATAACACGTGAAGTGTACGTCTTGAAGCAACGATAGAAAAAAATGTCCTTTGAACAGTATTTAGAGTAAACGTAGAAAATGTAATGTTTGCAGTTTTTTTGTATACTACTATAAGTAAAAAACTACAACTTGCATATTGTGGGTTTTGTAACATAAATTATGTTTTATTCAACTAACTATCACTGACGCTCATAGTGTTAAAAAAAGGAAGTATATAATATCAAACATACTATACAATAAAAAAAAGATTAAAAAGGGTAGGCACTACCTTAATAAATATAGCTGTTGGGCAATGAGATTTCTTTATTAAAACAAATAAAAATATTTCAACTCCAAACTTTAATCCTGTACGAATTCCTTATTTTTTTTTTTTAATTTATCATTTTTTTTATGGACGGTAATTTTATAACAAATATATGTATAATTGTTTTGTAACACAGAATATATTTTTATCGTACAAAATGCGCGGTATAACACTGTATTGTTATAAACCACGAGTAAAATAAATATGGGTGATTGAATATTTTTTGATTGCAATTCTAAAAACTCCAGCGGGTCCGACGTCGATGTTAACACGTTAGAAATCAATTTGCGGCTCGCGGTCAAGACATTTTCCACGTTAATGAAATATTATAGTCCGGTTAGCTCGGCGTGTGTATTATATTGGTGTACATGGTCAAATAATCAATCAAGAGCTTTTCGCGTGTCGGCCGCCAACGTTTTCTTCGGTTGGGTTGAAAAAAATTGCGATAAGAAATTGGCACGTTTCAGCTTAACGCCAACATTAGTCACCGTCTTAAGCTGAAGTTTCGCAACGCCAGGCACCGATAAGATCGCATATTATTGTTAAACCACTATATATCGTATGTTTTAGGGCTGCTGGAAAAAAAAAAACCCGTTATTAAATTCGAAATTAATGGCACGTCAATGCCGAGAGTACGGCCCCGCTGCGGTCCCTGCACAGGAGAGAGTATAAACGTAACCGACTCGAGCATAATCGGATTACATTGTAAAGAAGCTAAATTTTTTGGAAACCCATTTTAATCTCGGCCATTACCCGCCGTCAGTAGATACCGTTTGTAGTGTGTGTGTACGTCCTTTGTCCTGCTCCTCCCCCTTATCCTGATCCCACCCCTTCGGCATATCTACGGTGGTCATTGCTCTAATAGAATCGTTCGGCGGTCCTGACAGTGTTTGCGGTTGTTTAACGGAGTTGCAACTGTAAAATGTTAAATGGCATATATAGGTAATAACAATAATAATACCAAAACACCCAGAACAGCTACACACAAAGCCGATGTTGTGTCACTGTAAACCGCTCCACTTACACTTTCCACAACTTGCTTAAGCTATACAAAGCAGTAACCTTTTCTATGACAAAACGGTTAAAGTCAAGAAAGTTAATATCAAAGTTTAATACTAATTTAGGCGATTAAAAACAGTAGGTCAGATGGAAAAAAATATCGTTACAACATGACCGTATTCGGAGAGAGCGTTTACAATGTCCGTCCCCTTCTTCCGAAAACATACTTGGGTTTTGCTCGTACAAAATTCCAATTAACCTGTGGAATTTACTGGTCTGTTTTATTTGTTATTTAACTTGGTGGTAATTCTTATTAGCAACACATGACAATTAACAAACAATTAATAAGTTAATCAAACATAATTGACAATTTCTGTGAACAACATTTCATTTATGCCATAACTTAACAACATTACGTTTTTACTAAACAAGAAATGAAAATAATGAATGGTCGATAAACAGCAGGAATATAATACTTCTGAAGTTATTAGTGTTCAAAGGTGCAGGCGAAGGTTAAGTTAGGTATACTACTTTTGATTCAACCAAACTTCTTTTTTGCCATGTACCGTGTTAACACTATTTTGACCATTTAACATACATGTTGTATGTATACTTGTAAACATAAGTGCTAATATCTAAAGCTATACTAATAATTATAAATTTTTAAACAATTAGTGTAATGTCAATTGCGAATTAGACCAATACTTTGCTAATTTTAACTAAAAGAACATATATTTTAAGTCACTATTCGATATATTTTATAAGTTACCGCCTAGGTACGCTTCAAAGTTATCCGATTAAATGATTTAATACATGAATAATTATTCACATAAATATGTATTAACATATTCACATGTATATTTTTAATGAAAACATAATTTTATGACATTGAGCCCACATATCCCTATGACTATTTTTTTTTTATAAACGAGTATGATTTAGTGTTACCATTAATGCCTAGTCGTTTTTGTAAAACTTAACACTTAACCCTGAAATCGTCACTGATTGGACATATTCCCTTCTGCAATACGCCACAGAACTTATTCTAAAAAATATTTTACAACAATTATCGCATAGGAATTACCGAATACTGGTTTGCGAAACAGTGAACTTTCCCTGAATCAGCTATTTAATATAGTACTATATTTGATAGTGTGTATACATGGTACATCATGCATACTCTTACACGTAATAGCGTGTGCGACTTGTATGTAGAACAAATTTTCATTCAAACAGGATTGGCTCGGAATACATAAAATACTTGCTTACGCGATCGGTACGTTTCGAACAAATTGAATAACGGACGGCAACCATATAAAGGAAAACTTTAGTCGGAATTTAAATACACGTGTACTACTTACCTTTTTGTTAGTTACCAAATCATATATACATATGTACATAAACAATTCGCCACAGGTTATAATAAATACGTGCGTTGATGCAAAATGGAATTAAAAGCGCAACATTCGCAGGAATACATACATATTACTCTTATTATAATAAAGTTATATTTTATGAAGGCTGACCCAGACTGAACTATTTTTTCGAGTACACAATATTTTTATATAATATAGAGAACCCAGCCAGGGAAAAATAATAAAAGTCTGTGTTTACGAATTCCCAGTGAGGGGTGAGCGGGAAAGTACAAAGACTCGTGGATGGCGCGACAGGAGCGGTTGACAGTTATAAAACATTGCCCAAATCCGTTTTCTCTTTACGCCTCAAGACGCCCATTGTGTAGTCTAATAATTTTAATCCGTAAGTAAAATATTTTTAAGAAGAACACATGCCCCGAGGACGAAGCTTACAAACCCCGGTTGAGAGGCTAGTTAATAATTTCGAGTAGGACTGCCTGTTGTTTTATACCGTTATGGTTTATTATTATAACGGATAGTATTTTTTTTTTTCATTCACAACAGAAAATAACTATACATACACGATTTGATTACGTTACGCGTTTCGCAGAAATTAAATTCATAATTGTTAGAATTTTTGTATTATTTCATTAATTTTGATACTTTTAGAACTTTGTAATCAACCTTTTATAACAACGGAGACATCAATTTTTAAACCCTTTTTTTTTTTTACGTTAAAATTAAATTACCTAAAAGTATAACGCAATGCGTTTACTTACACTTTCAAATCAACAATTTGATTATTTCATTATTTGGATTTATTAGTTTTGTATTTTCATGTACAATATGTTTTTCTACCGTCGGAAAATACGATTTTCACTGCCTAAACTTATTATTTTGTCGTTGTAATCTTGCGATTGAAAAACGCTGCGCTTAAAGTTGAGACTTGTTGTACGTATAAAAATATCAGCCTGTCAAATTAAGGGTTGTGAGATAGAAAAATTACTCAGCTAATGCCAATAAAAAAACTGGTGCGTTGACAATATTTTAAGAAAAGCACATTGCCATCGCACTTTCTTACTGAAACAATTCAAACGATCGTACACAAACCATTTTGCAATATGTGCCTTAACAGTTGACAATGGCATATCTAATTGCACAACATTACAGCATCCACTATTTCTTTTGACTCCTTTTAAACAAAATTAATTATTTATTTATAAAATTCTCACTGTAAGATACCCTTGAACAATTTTCTAGTGACAGCCAAGTTCAACTTTAAGTGGTTATTATGTACACATACATTCCCTAGGGGTTATTTAGAAAAAAATAATCAGACGTTTAAGTTACGTTTACAAAAATGAATATTTAATCTCACATCCAGCCAAGCCAAAGAATGCATTTAATTTTTTTCTCTACCTGTTGTATGAGTAATATATTAAAATAGAATGAGTTTTTTTTTTTTGATAAATTTGTGACTTTTTATTGTTTGAAATAAAAACAGAGAATAAACCGTATATTGTAAACGGGAAAGTAACTATTGTTGTTTTGTACTAACGTTTCTATTGAATATACTTGAAAGTCATGGTGTATTATATTCACCTACTGCAAACCCTATTGATATGTTTGTATAATTTACAAGTGAAAACTGATAATTGTACAGACGACAAATATTTTTACTTTATTAATTGTTTGGTTTTCTTTGTTTTGCCTCGAAGTTTTTTTGTATCCTACAAAAGGGTGACGTTTTTAATTAATTATTTCATGCGCATTCCAATTTCTATTGTATTTTTTTTTTTATGTTTTTAATCTGAACCCATTTAATAAAATACCCTTATGATATTTCACTGGTACCACACAAAAAAAGGGTCACCGTCGTTTCCCAGTTACGATACCTTTTAGCTGATGTCGCTATAAACAATTTTCGTTATGATATTATTATAATAGAATATAATTTATCGGGCAAAACGTTAGTATTAAATTATAACAAGATACCGCAAAGCACGTGTACAATATGCCTTTACCGTGGCTTTAAAATTTGTATCATATGAAGTATGAACCTCATAACGGTAAATCTTTATAATGGTACAGCCAATAATTTTTAAAACGGCATTATGTTTCGCAGAAAGGCGACAACAATAATTTATAGCCGATGGTATAAAATGTATCTTTAATTTTTTTCTTCTGGATTTAGGTATACAGTTTTCCCTTAAATTAAAATAAGTATCACTATCCGTTTTAGTATTTACACTTGTTTAAGCTAGCTTCATAGGAATGATGAATTGTCCAACATAATTGTTTGATAAGTTCTTACAGTTAGGATAAAAGAAATTGAGACAAGACGTACCTCTTAGTATAATATATTTTAGATTTAAACTTCTTATGAAAATGGTTTGAAAGTAGGTATACATTTTATAAAATATACTTAAAGTATATTATGCGCTTCTATGATAAATATATACTTGTATAACTTTGCTCGCATTGTTAAGGAGTAAAAAATGTAAAAAAAAAAAAAACAATACTTTTACAGCCTTACATAAAGCAAGATAAAGTATTACATGCTACTCAGTAGCATTCGAATGCTTCAAGTAACTTATACTATTAAGTCTTAGTGAGATAATTTATATTCAATCTAAACCACTAATAAAATACATACAATGGTATACACTATTTCCAATTTTTATTATTCTAGATTTTCCCTTTAATTTTCTACTTTTGAATCGTTTTCATACAATTTAAGACAAAACATTAATTATTTAATTTTTTGTTTAAGTGCGGTACTAGAAAATCCAACTAAATCCAGTACCTTTACATACTATTAAACGTGCCATAAGTATACATATTAACTATTTAAAATGCATTAAGTATTAATGCATTAAGTAGGGCCTTAAAGACTATGGATATGAGTTTATTAATGTTTGGTAAGAAAATCTTATTAACTACGTTTGGTAGTATACATTTTCGTAAATGTAATAAAATATTTATACTAACCTTATTTTCCCTTCGTAAGCCATTAAGGCGCGTGGTAAATGATGAGAAATTGAACGTATTACGTTTTTATTTTATTTAGACGTTTATTCCGTTATTTGGTAAAATATGATGAACTATTTTATACAAAAAAAAAACTGATTAAGTAAACTACAGTCATTGTTATAGGTTAGGCTAGTTGTAGGTTAACAATTAGTGTCAGGTTGAATATAATAATAATTTAAAAACAAAAAAATCGCGCGCTGTTCTACTTTTAGGCATTTAATACCCAAAGACAATACAAAGTAAACGACATTTCTAATTGCTACATTACTTCAACTTGATTGTTTCAGAGTGCCGCCGTGTTAGCCGTAACAAACGTTTCCCAGTACATGGACGACACGGCTATCAGAAGAATGGTGTTGCCCAAACTCAAAATGGTGTACGAAACCAACCCTAACGATTTGAAAATAGTGTTGAACATACTGGCGTGTCTGGAAATCATATTGCACAGACTCGAAAAGCAACAAATCGTCGAAGAGGTTTTGCCGCTTATTTGGATTATTAATCAGACCGACCCAGAAGTAATAGCCAGAATAGCGAGTGAGTATAGAATTCGGTTTTTTAATCGAGTTTTCATCGGTATGGCTTGGCCAATGTCAATCATTAGTTACACGTTCTCAATAAGCATTAGTATTATAAGAGCTTAGTTGAGAGAATGTAGTGCGAGTGAACAATGAATGAGTGATATTTTATTGCCTTAAACATTTTCTCGTACCAACGTTTTAAGTATATGTACTAGTAGTGGACTAATCATAACACCTATTATAAATTATAAAAACCATTCTTGGAAAATAGACTCAAATTATAATGAATAACGCAAACACATTAAAAATTATATAAACTAAATGTTCTATTATGTTTGTTTTTTAAAAAAGTTTTGTTAAAATTTATGTAAAAGCTATACAAACGAAGTTGAAATATGTTTCAACTTAATTCGATTTGAACAAAATGAAAAAAAAAAAACGATTCTACAACCATTATTTGTCTAATGAACCCGACCAACATTTTTTATTGTTAGCTTTGGGTTAAATACAGATCCCCTCAGGCAGTACAAATCTGACAATTGCCTGGTCTAATCACTGAAATAAAAAGCAAACGCCCGAGGCTTTTCTTGGCTAATGAATAACATTATTAGATTTTAATGGTCAACTTGACACAATACTCAGGGACTCAAAAAAACCCTAATGAAGATAAATCTACCGTGTTCTTTTTTATAAAGACACACCTCTGTCGTATACACTTACTTTGACAAATTATACTACATAAGTAGGTCAAAGTTGGACGAACGTTATGTTTGTTAAAAACTTGGTTTACACTTCCTTTTAGATCGTTTTACTACAATGTAACACACATTCAAGAAAGACTAATTTTTGTAAGTACTATACATTTAAATTTGTTTAGGTTAAATTTTAAATTTATCGCAATCTATATTTGCGTACAAGCGTTGCAAAACTGCTGAACCTAATGTATTTTTTAAATAATTATTTTATTGTTGCTTACATGAAACGTGACGTACCCACAAAATACACATGACGTCAATAATAGGGGCGGCAATTAGTTTTCAATACCTCAAAGCATAGACGACCAACCCAATGGCAACAGCCATGCCCGTAAATTTTACTTAAACATATAACCGTATTATTATACAGTCATGTATATTATTATTCAGTATATTTAATACATTCAAAATACGGTGGTTTTGTTATATTTTTAGCTAATTTTGAACCAGTAATGTTTACTTAGCTTTCGTGCTATTAACTGTGTACAGTTAATACTTACACTTACAGACAACCCTTGAAAGTAAAACATGACAATACTGCACGTTATAATATATTAATAAGCGTTTCATGAGTTAAAAGTAAAAATATGAATAATTTAAATTTGTTTTTAAAAATATCAAGACCAAAAAAATACATATTTTTATTAACTCCTAAAAGTTAGGTTTGGTTAAATGAGGGGAATACAGTCGTAGAAGTGAGTCAATAAGTAAATAATTATTATTATGTAAACTATTATGTAGTTTTTAATGGTTCAATACAATAATCAACGAATTGTTGTTTTATAGTTATATACAGCATGATCCTGCGGGATAAAAAATACGGCTTGTCGGTTAATTTAATAGCGACGAAAATCATGCCTACTCTTATACCGCATACGATGAACCCCGGATTGAATCTAGAACAGTTCCAGACCCTAATCGAACTCTTGCAAGACATGCTGGACCATATTGACAGGTGTGTATTGTTGTATTACTATTGTGTTAATAAACAAAATACGAAAATGTTTAATTGTTTTTTGTGAAAATCGTATAATGGTATTTTGTAATTACACCACAATAGGAACCAGAGAAATAAACTGAAACTCGACACTATATCAATGCAGAGTCCCGACAGACACCGTCCTTTGAGACATTTATACAGCTCTGACAACATGCACGCGCAAAACTTCAACATACCAAACTTAAAAATTGAACAACGAAAAACGTCTAGCGCCGAAGATATGGTTCGCAAAAATTCGGCTGGTAAGTACATAATCGCATTATATTACTGTTTATTTAAGCTATAGGTATACAATTTTAAAATGGTGAGATGTGTTAAAAACCGTTGTCGAAATACAATTTTTTTTTCCATTTATACTTTCCATACCTATATTTTAAGATACTTCATTTTGTCGGTTTAAACTAGTAACTAATAACAAAAATATTTCAATATTCCAAAATATAAAATTCTGTTTATTGTGGAAAGCTCTTACTTTTTCAAATATTTATTTGATCTTTATTGTAGTTATTTGGAAAATAAAATATAAAAAAAAAATTGTGGCATTACATCACAATGAAATAAAAATACAGATATATACATTTATTAAAGATTTTTTATTTTTCATTCGTTACATAATATGAAGTTCATTTTAAATCGATTTGGAATTATCTGAGATAATTGTTTATCTTTAAATAATAAATAAAATATTTATTTTATATAAATTGAGCTTTAAAGAATATGTTATTCACGAATAAAAAAAATCATCTATTATAATATGTATTATGTTATTTTATTTTGCCCAACTTTTTGACATTATTGTAAAAAACATTTTCATGAAAGGCATTAATGCTAAAAATCAAACTACCGTCAAGTTAATGAGTTTTTGATTTTCGAAAAATAGAACTCTGGTAAACAATGCGATCTGTAATATTCAATACCCTCTTACCCTCTTTTCGCCCTCTAAAATAATATTTTAGCTACGAAACCGATTCTTAGAATTATTTCGGAGCTTACAATCCATTATGATTTTGAGTACGGTATAGTTGACAAAAACGACAGGTGCAGCAATGTTGTTCGTTTATGTCAAAAATGCAAGAGTACGCTTTATTTTCTTTTAGCCGCTAATATGTTATAATTATAAAAGGAATGTTCATTCAACGAGATAAATTAATTAAAAATATATTATCGCTAAAAACTTTTTTGCTTAACAATGTGATTTTCTTATCATATCATATAATACATTATTATATTTCTTCTGTTGCATGTCACTTAACTATAAGAAAAAACTGTATGGAATTCTTTGCAATTTATTTAAGACAATTTTCCTAATAATAATAATTATTTTATATTAATAACGCTAATAGCTGATATTTTTGAGTAATTATTCTAATAAGTGTTTAAACAAAACAATTTCCACGCATCAAATAAAAGTACTTTAAATTTTTTTTTAGCTTTAAACAGTTTTACAGTCGAATTTCGAAGCCTTATATATGAACGTTTCTATCCAATTTATAATACCTAAGAAAAAGCCACATTAATATTATTAAAATCCTTTTATTGCTTCATCATCTTATTGGTCCATAATCGAATTGAACTACTTTACGTTATAATCCAAACCCCCCCCCCCCCAAGCTATACTTCTTATATTTGATCGCTTATTTCGTATTTCATTAAAACCAATTTTAGTTTAATATAGAATATACAGTACTATAATCATTTATCGATTATCTATGTCATAATTTTATTGTTATTATTTATAGCTTATTTTTATATTATTAAAATTATATAATAGTGAACGATAAATATTTTATGAATCTTTTTACGGCAAAAAAGAAAACGATAGATTTTTCAATTTCAAAAAATAAATATTTTACAAGCGACATATTATTATTGTTCAATATAAATATAAACGTACTCAAGTATAAAAAATATAACTTCATATAGTCATCGCAACTTTTAGACATTTTTCACCTTAGTGAAAAACTATTATTGCGATTTTCAATGAAATATATCTGTACATAAGAAAGAAAAAACATAAGTTGTATGGTATAGTATAAAAGAACAGGAATTTCTTTTATTGTGTTCCATTGATCCATTAAATCTGTCTGCAGCCTTAGAAAATAATACTCTACAATACGTATTATGAACATACAAAGGAAATGTTATTAAAATTAATCGTCGTGTAACAAAAAAAAAAATACATTGATTTCAATAGACTCTTTTTAAGACGTTTTGATTACATCGATCAGTTATTTATTATGAGTAGATAAAGGTAAATTAAAAAAAAACAGAGAATTAAAGTGGCTGATTCCATTTATATTTAATACGAGATAAGAGAGGAAAAAATGTAATCTATTTAATATTGTTGGGTAATAATAATTTATCTGTATCCTATAGGAGGATGTTTCAAGATAGATTTATTCTTATATTGAGGAAAGTACACACATTATAGAATGACTTTGTATTCATTAAGAGAAAAAAGAATAGTTTGTTTCTTAATAATGGGCGATCGAAAATTCTACTTCTACAAATCTCTACTGTAACTCGCTAACTATTGTCAATGAAATGTTTTAAAATTAAATTGAAATATCTTTTTGTCAGACGATCATACATTATATGGATGCGATTTGTATTTATTTTTGGTAAAGAATGAAAACAGTCTATATTATATACACGGTAACAAGATAAAACGCAATACTTATAGTTTAAGTGGTTTTTATAATTGTACAGAACTAAATGTAAACCATAATTTTAATGCGTTCTTATCGGCGATGCTTAAAATTGTATTTTTTTGTTTCTAGCAAAAGTTGATGAAAACAGACTATAATAGAAAAAAAAAAGTTCATTGACTAATTATATTTGTTACGATTAAAAACTTAGTTTAAATGTAATTATTTGATACAGATTAATATATTTTTTAAATCTTTGACTGAGCTATATTTACAAAAAAAAAAAAAAATAATACAAATTACCTAAATTAATAAAATTTACTTAAATTCATATATAGTAATTGATTTTCATGTGTTTTTTTTTTTTTTGTTGCAGGAAGTTGGTGGTTTGGTGGATCTCCGTCGGGTTCGGACAGCAATTTCTTGCGAGTAGTCAGCTCGTTCCCGAACCGTCGTTTGTCCGACAACATGCTTAACACTCCCAAAATCCGAATCGCCCCCTCGTGTGCTTCTTCGCCGGGTAGTACACCCGTGGGCACCGGACTTCCCATCCGAAGACATTCGAACGTGGAGCGTCGCGGGTCCACCATAAACCTGTCGCCGCCTTCGGTAATGCTTCGTTATTTATTCTTAAATTATTAGTATATTATTATTGTTATCGTTTTGTTCCCTCCAAAAGCTGTACATAAAAATATTGACTTGACAACGGCCTATGCCGTCGCGACTTTCATTTTAATTTCACAAAAAAAAAAAAAAAAAAAAAATACCGTATGTATTATCCTGCTTGAAGCTTTGTGCGGTTCCTGAGGAAATCGGGTGCGATTGAAACATATGTAGAGTAATATTGTTGTAGACGAACCGGTAACGCTGCGAGTCGCTTAGATAAAAAAAAAATAATAATAATAGTTACACGCCTACAGACGAAATGCCGCTATATGGATAATATTAAAAAGTAACAATACACAACTAGCTGTGTTATTATTGTTTTTTTTTTTTTAAACGACTTTTGCCTCACCGACATCAAACGCGTTCGCACCTTTTGCCGTCAGGGGCTTTTATAGTGATTTTTTGCACAGGGCTATCAATACTTCAGATCGGTTAACCGCGATGGGTCCACAATGTCGGTACCATCATCGACGTATGTAAGTGTTAAACGAAATGAGATTGTTGCATACATTATACTACATCGGTGTCCGTTTATTGGCAGTGTTCATATTTTGGTTTTATTGGTTTTTTTTTTTTAAATTTTAATTCATTTTTTATTTGTTTATTATTTTGTTTTTATATATTTCGCATAAGTGTACGGCATTACTCGTTGGTTCAGCATGAATAACACTGTATACACTATAATATACAATATAATATATACATATTATATACATACGAATATTATATTGTATCTATACGCGAATTAAATTTGTTTGTTTGGATTTTTTTTCGTTTTTTACAATATCTTAAAATATAATAACACTATACAACAGGAACACAACAACAAATGGCGGACGGTAGCGCTACCAATATATAGCGAGAGCGACCTCTAAATATATATATATATATATATGTATATATTAAGCCAACTATACAGCGATTGGCACTATAGTCCGTTGGCTATACACAAACACATTTCGACAATTAATTATTACCGTGTCGACTGACAATCGCAACTGGCGTGTAATAACAACAATATCATATTATTATCCCGTACAGGAAACCCGTTCTCAAGTATTTTAACTAAGTGCGCGTTTTCATTTTCCGCAATGGAATGTGTAATACGCCGTATGTATACAGGGTGATCCACCAGGGTGTAAGACACTCGTTTTGGACTTAAATGGAACATACTTGTATTAATTCCATAAATATGTGGACAACAAATTTAAGCGTTTGAATTTTTTAATTTTCATCTACCTGTTGTTGTTTGTTTGCTATGATTTTGTAAAGGCTTCAACTTAAGATCAGTGTATTCGTTCGGTTTTTTTCAACAGTAGCATTCCCATTAAATAATCATATTGCTGAAGATAAAAATGTTTAAAGTAGTATAGCAAAATACGTACTTGCAAGTACAGGAAAATAATATTTTTCAAATTATTCATATTTTCCAAGAAAACGAGTGTCTTACGTCACAGATGGATTACCCTGTATAGTACAATCCACGTGGGGCGTACCGGATAAAATATATCACATAATTTGTGTAGCTTTCATCTCCATTCGGCGCGAAGTCCTTTAATGTACCGTGATGACATTTGAAAATGAAATAACACCTTAGGGACGTTTACATTAGTAAATTACATTATTATATTCGTTATAAAAGTTCATAATATATAATTTTTTTTTTTTTATTATTATTATTAAATGATATTGAATAAGTTGCGTTTTTTCGTTTTACCGTCAGCCATTTTGTCACTAGTAAAATAATATTTTCATAGTAAAACGCGTGAATGATGGAGAAAAATGTCATATTTTATGTTTTTTTTGTTTTTAATTTTGTCTTTTTGCTTTTTGGCAAAGGTCGACAAACGATGTTGTTTTCTTCTGCGTTTCTATTTGTACTTGTACTTACTATTTTTGGCTTTTGTTGTTAGCTATAGAACTTGCCGATAACAAGTACGCACACCTTGTGCGTGCGTATCACACTGTTCTTATCTATATTCAGCATATTGCTTTTTGGCTGATTGTGCGCACATTAAGTTGAAAAACAAATTTCAAAACAACATACAATAACAAAAATGTTGGCGATTAGTTTTAAAAGCGACAAGAATATATTTTATTTTCAAATATTATTCTGAAAAATAATGACTGCCGTCTGTTGATCAGCTTAAGTTTTCGTTTATAAATAATTGATTTTGTGTTATTACTTGTTAGTATAAGAAGCTTATTTATGCATTTCGCTGTGTTTACTTATTTTGTGTTACTTTTAATGGTTTTTACAAAATTATAATAATGAAGGTATACTAAAAAAAATTAAAGTAGTTAAAATCAGAGCTCTGTTAAGGACTATTGCTTATATACATATACTCAATTCATAATAAAACCATTATCCTAATGCCTCTATTAAAATATCGTTAAAAATTATTAATAAACCTAAGGGCTAAGTTAAATTGTGATTGTTAATATTATTTTCTTGCGTTCAATGTGCACGAATCTTAAACATTTATCTTTTACATGTTAGCTGTTAACTCAATCTAGTAGTATACATAACACCTTGCAGCGTTATAGGTTCAAACTAAAGAGATACATTATCTTAGTCACCATATGAATAAAGTGAATACATTTCAGTAAAAACATATAGGTTTATCAATAAATTTTAAATTGTATACTACATTAATTAAAATATTAAAATTTTTAAAATACAACTAGAAAAAACGCTATAATATGAATTATACTTTTTTTCATTCAAATCATCATCGAGTAAAATTTGTTTTAAAAATTACAAATACCTATGGTTTTTAAGTATTCGTTCTTAATTATATTAAAAATACAAGTACAAAGTGATAATTAATTTTTCGTCAATAAGTATATAATAAATATTAGATAAAGGGTTTATCTTCTGTACTTTAGGAAAACATAATTTATATCATCTACTATTTTGAATTCATAGTGTTTCAGCAAAACTCATAAAATAAATAACTAAATATATTATTATAACATTATGTTGTTATAATTTTTCATATCTTATGCCTTTTCAATAATTGTGTCAATACTCGTGTGACACATTGCTAATTTATTGTTATTGTATATTCTTTATACATAGAAAAATATTAAAATGGCATTGACCAAATGACAAGTATGTATTAATTTTGCAGATGCGAAACGCCGTACTATCGATAACAAAATGTATCGTACGGCGTTCTGAAATTGTGTAATTTAAAGCTTTTAGGTATTTTCAAATTTGTTACATTTTTAGTTGTTTATTTATATGAATTTTTTTTTTGTATGCTACTTACGCGGATAACAGCTTGCACGGAGCATGATTGTGAGTATTCATAAGTTGTTTCACACTAACTCTTAAGTAATGATAACTAACAGCATCGCCTAGAATTTCTAGAAAAAAAACTCTTCTAAGTACACTTTTTGTTTAGTAGTGGCTATTTACAACTGTTTTAAAGACAAAATCAGAAACAACGATTACGAACACTGAACTATTATTAATCCTTGAAGTTAATTTTCTGAGATACTACCACTGTTTGTGTGTTAGTCTGACGATATCAAAACACCATTAATACCAAATTTTATTATTGAACAAAATATAGCTCAGTAGACTTAAATATTTTTATTTAAAAAGTAATTATTAGCGGTCCACGCGAACAGCTGGCCGGTTCCTTTACACTAATCCTATATAATATATATTTGACACTTGAGACCGAGACGAATCGAAAACCTGAGATGAAATAAAACAATTTAAATACTATTGCCCGGCAAATAAGATATCATTTACCATTTTGATAGCACATCAGTACAAGTAGAAGTAAAATTTAGACAATGGTTAGATAAGTTTTCGGTCGGTCCCGATCTCAGGAGTTGGTATCATGATTTAATATCGGTTTTGCGTTACGTCCTGTGGGACACCTTGTGTATATAATATTGTATGGGCGTGGTAATCATCCAGTAAATTAATCGCCATTATTTTTCACTCTAGTTGCGTTGGACTTTACTAGGAATACTTACTATATTATATTACTCAATCACGTGTGCAACCCGCATCAACATCATTCTCGGTCCTCCTCGTGCTCGAAATAACAGCAACAAGCCGACGACACTCAATTAATAAAATTATCATTACTTTTTCAGTTACCCCTGCCCACAGACCGTTGCATCTCTTCTATTCCATAAACTTGATCCGCAGATCTAATTACTCCGTTGTACCGCCAATTACATCAATTAGAAATTCATTACCCGTGATCGTTTTATAATAAAAACTGATTAATTTGTCTAATGTTTTTTATTCCTTATTGTGTATGCTGTAGAAACCTAAACCAAGAACATAAATTACTGGGGCTGAACCCGTCCGACGCACCTTTTTACTTGAAACCAAATTCTATATGCGCATGCATAATATATTATTTTAAATCTATCTAAAATACTGTAAAAAGCATTTTACATTAAAACGAATAACCCCACAAAAAAATAAAACTGCATACTATATTACCCTCTTTTGGCATTCATTTTAATATGTACATTCACAAATAATTATTAACCTGCATAATCTTGTAGGTACCATCAAGGTATTTGTGTTCATTTCTATTTTTCCTTTTTTTTTTTACATAAAAACGAAACTTTTGACTTACCTTTTTAGGATATTTTCTGTAGTAATAATTTATTATAAGCCAATGTGTGTCTCGTGGGATAATCTGATATCAAATCCCATGTATTTCGGGTTCGCTTATTTAAAAAAAAACATCTCGCTAATAACTAATTCCAATTATCTACAGCCGTAGGACGAATTGAACGAATTGAACTCTACCTATAAATATCCGAGTTACTTAAACCACTTGTTGTTTTGTAGTTTTTATTTTTATTTTACTGACGTAATGTTTTAAATTGTTACTCTGTGTTTGAACAACGGCCATTCGTTTACGCCATGTCTTGGTGTAATCATTTATTCATGTCACACATTTTCTTCTCTCGGAAATTATAGTCTTTAACGTCAAGTTAAAAATTGTTCGCATAAATAAAATATCGTCGATACGCGCAGTGTACGAGATCAAATAATTCGGGAAAAGAAAATAGACCTATTCGTGTTATTTTTGCCTTCGTTTAAAGTTTTGAATCAAGCCGTCGCGTCGTGTCACCGCGTCATTTGTATCGACCTCCAAAGAAAAAAACATTGCTATAACTTTATTCAGGGAAATAACCTGCCATCGATGAGACGGCGTTTTCTTCGAATTTGAATATTATGCCGAATAGAAACAGCATGCGTTGTCAAAATGTTACTATGCACAAAAAAGTACATTATGTTCGGGAATTCCAATTTTCAATAATACTTCACAATAAAGTAACCCCCAAAATTCAATCCAGTAAGTTGAAAACGAATGTATGGCGTTGCTGTCTTTATGGCGGTAATAAATTCGGATTCAGATGATTCCTAGCAAACATTATATAAGTAACGCAGTGCCTGTTCAATGTGTGTCTGTGCTGAATTAGGAAATATTAATGAAACATTTGGGTTGTTAATAATAAATAGTATATAGTGTACAGCTTTCTGCCAAAGTATTGTGTAAAAAAAATGTGACAATCATTATAAAATATTGTATTTTTCAACGGAAATTGATTGAAATATAAAATACTATTGCTGGTCAGGTTTACGTGTAAAACTAACTATGCACAAATTGGCATGTAGGTACGTTGTATAAAGTTATTTTTCAAGCGCAATGAAAAATGTTCAAGTTTCTATTAAGCCCACACAATCGAATGGGTTACCTATAACTATAATTGAACAACTAGAAATAAATAACATTTACAAATAAAATAAGTTGTGATATGGACATTAGAACACTACGGTCGTCCGATATAAAAATGAATTACCCAGAAAACCCTTCTCATTACTGTACTAATGAACATTATATATAGTTTTTAATTAAATTCCATCCAAGCAATTCCTATACCGATACCTTTATAATAAATATCCCGCCTGATCGTTGTTCGTTGAAATTAAATACAAATTATTGCTCACATTAATTTGTACACACAGTTGTTTTGCGCTTGTACTTCATAGGTACCTAAGATTTATTTTTTGTTTCATAAAATAATTTCCGCTATAATTTAGTCTCGAGCTGTAATTTTTTTTTAATAAACCCCTGACAGTTTTCATCCATCTCGCTTGTCTGAGTTATTGTTGCTTTTGTAAACGCCATTTTTTAAAGCTACAAACCCTATTTTCAACAAACCTAATTGTAATATTCATTGCAGCAATTGGCCGAGTTTTCGAGGCGTAGTAAATCCCGACAAACAAACCTCTGTTTTTAATGTAAATTCAATAGGTACACTTTCGAGTTCGAAAAACATTACTATAAATACAAATATAATATTATTGTGAAATCGTTTTACAGTCGTGAGTCGTCTTTGCAATAGGTATGCCGCTAAACTTAAAAATGTCTCATTGTTATGTTGTCGTCTTAGCTGTTTTTTTTTGTCTGGCGTCTCGTTTGCAAACTTTATAATGTAGGCATAGGCGCAATTTCAATTTTTAACTTGGGGGCTGGAAATTTTTTTAAATTATATATATAAGTAAACATATTTTTGTATTTCAAAATTGTTTGCATAACCAAATTTTTTTTTGGGGGGGGGGGGCTAAGCCCACCCTAGCCCCCTGCGCCTATGATTATGTAGGCCACTTAACTGTTGCCCGGTGAACTCGTCAAATAGTATATAAAATATATTTAATATGTAAACTATTCATTATTATAATATTTCAATATTTTTTCCTCGTGTAACAGGGAGGAAGCATGCCGAACACTAGCAGCAGCGTACCGTATCTGCTCAGTTCCAGTATGAACAGCATTCGGTCGAGGAGGCAGAGCACGTGCTCGCAAGGCTCAGGCACAGGCATTTTGCAGCAGTTGGGCTCCGGCGTGGCCAAACAACTGGCCACGTTACAAAATCCTGTAAGAATTGATTTTTTTTTTTGTAAATTAAAATTAACTAAAAAGACAACGCCTTAAGCACGTGTTTGTTCTTATGTCGCCAGTATCAGCTGTTTAGCGGTAACAAGTGAAGACGATAGAAAACCAACACATCATCACTTTCACAGTCGTTCGACAGTGTCTATTTCGACCCAGTCAATTATATCGAGTAACGACATGTCAGTACATCTCAATACACAGGCTGTCGACTACAATAGCATGTGTGATGCAGAAAACTAAAATAGGGGCCTAATGTCGGTCAATTTGATTCCAACGGACAAGTTTTTTTTAGCTCCAATCCGGGTCTCAAATTGTTAAAATATCAAGTACCAAGATTCAAAAAATAGCACTAACTCAATTTTGTAAAATTCCGATAAGAGGTCCCTTATTACAATAACTATTATTATTAATTATAAATTATATCACTATTGCTAACGGTGGAACACAAATGAGTGTGTACACCGACGATCTCGATTTGCGTTGTGTGTCAAATTTGTTTTTTTTTCTAATGTAATAATAGGTATATAATAATAATAATAATATTATAAAATACTTTTATCCAAACGAACCCTTTTTTAAAAAAAAAAAAAATCAATATAGTAACTTACATATCTATAAAATACAATTACAATTACATTGTCTTTATTCGTTCAACAACTGTTTACCATTAATTGTATTTTCTACTATATAATAATATGTAATTTATACTTATTATATGTATATATATATATTATTGTTATTGCGCTGTACTTGTGTGGTAGGCGTTAAGTTTATACTTTAAAGTATTCTATAATAGATGTGTATCTACTAGTAGGTTATGTTTTTGTCCTCGTGAACATATCTTTTTTTTAATTTTATTTTTTAATATTTCTTAACGTTTTTGCTCAATACGTGGATTACGTCCATTGTAAAATATAATCCCTAAAACTATCTATAGTACCTATATTAGTCATCGTTAGTCTACATAATCAGCCGTCATCAATAATACAAATAATATACATACTATATTATATTTATACTCGTATACCTGCACTTCACCTTAGAACTGATAAAGACAATCAGATACTATTCTACTTAATATTCTAAAATTCCTTCGCGTCTTATAATACCTATATTACATATTTATTTTCGTCACGAGTAGACAATCCAGTACTTTTATTAATAGATTTATATTTAAAAATATATGTGATAAAAAAAAGTTATAATTAGATGTGAAAATAATGTTTATAAAATCAATAATATATAATAGAGATTATTTGTTATTATAATTTATCGTTGTGTAGCTATTTATCCTATTTTGTTTGGGAGAGAGTAAAATTTAATTTATGAATACTTAACAGCTAGGTATGATTTAAGGAATAATTTCCATTATTATTATGATATGAATATACAATAAATAATATACCTATAAACCGCGAAAACCGTACTCATACTGTTATCCATTATTTGGTAATATGTGACCACAGAACTTAAATAGTAAACACCTAAAATATCTTAATTTTCAAAGATTTTATTAGCTTATAGTACCGCTGTAAACGAATGATTATGTACTTACTCATGAAATTAAGTATACAGATATTAGTAAAATAATAATTTATCTGTAAGTCTTCTCGATTGTTATATCTGAAATAGACAGCTAACGACACAGGTATTAATAAATAACATTTTTTTATCATGTAAATTATAATCTAGCTACAAATTATTTACCTATGTAACGAGAAAAAGTTATTTTTGTTTCGAGGTCGTTTCGCGACGGGTATAATTTTTTATTTACAACGTACTGAACACAATGTAAACGTATTTGACTTCCTAATAACAACAATTTAAACAGATATATATATATATATATATAATCGTTAATCGTCATAATGTATCGATGATTTTGATCACAATACCATTTACCAAATTAACAAAATTATCATTTGTTACAAAATACCATTTGTTAATTTTAAAAAGTAGCTATAACTCATTATACCTTGTGAAATTAATCATTGGTAAAATAGTTTTTAAATGATTAGTTTATTGAAACCCCTAAAACAACATACATGCTTAAAGGTTATTTGTTTACTAACAGGCAAATGAATAATTTTTTTTTTAGGTTATCATTATTTCAATAAAAAAAATGCCCGACACCCTACTCTTCTGATTGTGCCTATATTTACACTTCATAAATATTACTTAGTAAAATTAAGTTTTGTCGTTTTAAATAATTTCATTAAAAACATTTGGTTTTATTCATTTGTCAGCGAAATAAAAATGAATAACACAAAACTACGTTATGCAAATAATATTATAATTAGACGTAAAAAGTAATAGTGTTTAGTATTTATTTTTGAAAATTATATAACTGTGATAATTGATAAATTATTATATAATTATGAATCAACAAATTCTTCTTACGGTATATACCTACAAGACATCAATACTACTACATATTATATAATAGTGCTTAGCTTACATGCATCAATCCAATAAGTTTATTTTTTGGAAAATCAGTTTTATTTAATAAAACTAATGTGGAAAAAGTCGTATAATACATCATATAGAGTATTTTTGATTAATTACTTATAAAATAAATTGGTCTGTCCTGTTGCTTAATTTGTATCTGGTACTCAACTTCGATTATTAAAACTTATTTGTGTCTAATATTTGATTGTAAGATAAAACATTGATTACTATATTACTTTTTAATAATCAATAATTATATTTAGTATCATTCGAAAATAATACTGTTTTATGTAATACTGTAATATGTTGACATTATTTAAATATTTTGTTGTTGTTTGAAATTGAATAATATAGAAATTAAAAACATTTAACTAGGTATTTTTTTTTTTGTTAATACCAATTGTACATAAGCATTTATAGAGTGTGCTCTATTGTAAGCTGTAAGGATGATAGTATTTCAGGTACCACAGCGCTTGCAGAACAGGATATGTATTTAATAGACTTAGATATACGTACACGTGGAATTGATTAAAACAAAAAATAATAATATACATATATTACGTATGTTAAATATTATCTGTCTACATTTATTTATAACTATAAAAACACTTATATAAAAATAACTTGAATATAGGATAAGAATAAAATTAATATAAAGCTGTTACAGTCTTATCAAACATAATTAGATACCTGAGTATTTCAAATGAATCTGAAAACATTGAGATCATTAATATAAATTTTGTTCTAATAGAACTCAATAGCAATCTAAAAGATCAGCCCCTTCAACAAAGCAATTGTTCGACTGGCCGATTATATCATCCAACATGGAGTTCAATCCGCTTCTCGTATAAATAATCCATTTCTTCCTGGCAGTATAATTTTCAAAATCATAGGTGTAAGCAAAGTCGAGGAATTTATCGGGTAAAATATAGACATCCGTTTTGGTTCTAAGACACACATCACTTGGATATATGTTGCGGTTACTAGCACATTTGAGACTCGACAAAAGTTCACCATCGCAAGAAGTTGTGATAGAATTTAAAACTCTATCAGACGAGTCGGTGTGTCTTGACTTTTTGCATTGAACACTAGAATTTATATCATTATTATCATCATCCGTTTGATAAAATTGTCGTGCCGGATCATTTTTATTTGATTGTGAGACATTAGGGTCAGAACTTGGCGAAATAAGTAATTTTCTAGTCAAACCAACTGCACTATTTTGAACTTCTAAATCACATTCGTCATTTAAAGCCATATAAAGAACCTAAGACAAAAATTAAAATATGAAACTATTAAAAATGTAATTTAAACAAGATATTAAATCAAACCATGTTTAAGCATTGAAATAGACCATGTTATTTAAGATAAGAAGTCAAATTAAAAACATCAACTTACATGCAAACAACCAACTTGACTCAACATAACAAAATCAAATGAAACATTTATATTTGTGGAATCGTCACAAGTCTTTTGGGTACATTTTTTAATGAGAGTATCCCAAAACTCGTAAGCAAATTTTTTCACCTCCCAAAGAGGATCTTGAAGACTTACATGTACCATAACTATGCACACATCGTTGAACATTTGGTTGCTATAAAATTGAAATGGTGTATGAACATTAATAGTTATTTCCTGATAATATCCAACGCTAAACTGACATAATTAAAACTATGTACAGTTTAGAGTTTATAGTTTTATATTTAAGATTTACCTAAGGTAGTCAAAGTCATACAAAGCTGTTATTAATTTGACTGCTTGTCTTCTAATAACTCCTTCAGGTTCCATTTGCATTATATCTAAGCTGTAAATCTAAATTATTTAAAATAAAATGTAGATATTATATTAACACGTAAATTAATTTACATTTTGATATTAAAAAAAAAAGGCTCACCAATATATCTGTTTCTTTTAGTAATGAGGTTCCTAATTCCATAACTGACACCATTTCTATCAGACATTCGAGAGCTTTGGCTTTGACATATGGATCACTATCATACGTGGCAGATTTATATACAGATGCTGGTAACTGATTTTCTAAGATGCATTTGACCAAAAAGTGTCCTATAAATGAAAAAAGTATGGTTAATAACAATTAAAAAACCCTAAAAATGTACACAATTTTCAAATGAAAATTGCAAGCTTTAACTTTTTTTTAAAAAAAAGTGAAAGTAATTTCAGACTCGTATGGGATATTTATTAAATACAGTACTACTAAAATACAGTGAAAAGTTAAAAAAATATCATTAACCCTTTCTCCTAAAATGGATGGACAATTTTTCCTTTTTTAGCTTTTATACTATTAGGACATATTATCTGAAAATTACAACATCTTTTGAAAACCTTTCAGTCAAACTTTTTATTTATTTATAGAGGAAAAATAACGTGATTACAAACACAATAGTTTGTAATAGTTTTATAACAGGTTTTTTACCTTTTTTTTTTATAATGTTTGTAGCGATCATGGAGTCCTAAACACTAAAATGTTTGTTGGTTTTTTTACTTTATAAAATTGAAATTCCCCAAACAACCAGTCATAATTGTCAGTAGTTTATTTTAAATATAAAAAGTTAATGACATATGTTTTGATATTTCTATTAAATGACAAAAATGTGTATTAACTCTTTTTGTATTGAGAAAAACCCCAAAAGATCAAATAACACACATATAAACACATGTTGCCATGAAATGTTTTTTGTTTTGCATTGAAGTCTTTATTTTATCACATTCAGTTAGAATAAAATTCTTGCGACTTCTCGGACCTCAATATACTCTACCCTTAGTATGCCCTGACCCACTGCGTTGACTTTTTAAAGGTAATTAATTAGACCTGGATAAAAAATTACAAGTTCGTTTCCTAAGTAGTTTTGTTTTTTTACCTGTATTGTATTTAGATGCTACTGTGATGTTGGTAATACAATCCAAACAACTATCTCGGACTTCCGGTCTAGTATCCAACAGTAAAATACTTAATGTATTACATAGGTTCCGAAAATCATCTTTGTTGTTTGCAATTTCATAAACTCTTTTATTAAAAGATATGCTAATTAATTTAAAAAATGTCTGGAAATCAAGTTTAATTTTTAAAATTTATTTTGTCACAGCAACTACTAACACACAGTACTAGATAATAATATACCCACTTGCAAAACAGCCGAGTTATGGGAAGACTTTTGTAAAAATGTGCTATAATTTTGTATCAGAGATACTGACAATGAGTTATCGTCAGTAAATATCTCTTTGTCGGGTTTTCTCTCTTCTAGAATTTTGGTCCAACATATAAATAAGTTAGGCAACAACTCTAAAAAGTTCTTGTAATTTTGAACCATGCAATACTCAGGATTTTTTTCAAGCCAAACATCTGAATGCAGCAAAAAATCCAATATGGACAAAAATAGGGTATTCAAATATTGCAGTGATTCCTAAAATAATAAAAAGAGTACTTATATATAATACATTGTTAGTAATAAAATATTATTAAACCGGAATTTTACAATGCATTCCAGGATTTCAGATTGGCCTTCCAAGATCACGCGTAATAGGAATTATGTAGGCTCGACTTGTGTTTATCACAGTACACTGGTAGCCTACGAGCCCCAAGCCAAACTATATGTTATGGAATCTAAGATTTATCTTAGAAACTAAATTTAATGTCAGCAAAAAGCTTTACCTGCTTTAGTATATATACAACATCTGTGACATTAAGTATAACAGAAATGGCGATTTCTTTTATTATAGTTGGATCAAACACAACCTCATTACATTTAGATACATATTGAAATTCGACAATATTTGTACCAACATTAATCGGTAAACTGTTTGAAAATTTGAGCCATTTTGTACATTCTTCGATATGTTTTAACTGTAAATAAAAACATTACATTTTAAAATAATACAAAACTCAAAACAATACATTTAGCGTTATTTTTACCTGACCAATTATTAGTTCTTTTTCAAAACAGACATCATTTATTTTGGCAGCATTAAGATATTTAATGGCCTGTGTGTACCAGTTATTAACTTGCTTATAAAATAGTGGATTATCTGGCCAATCCATATTAGAAAATAAAGAATTAAAAGTGAGCTCCATATCCAACTTGGGCCAAACTGTATAACAGTCAAGCAATAAGTGCAACGTAACACAGTTTCTTGATAAATACGGAGATAATTTTAATAGTGTATTCATTTTTTTTAGTATATCTTTTAGAGAATAATTTAAAATTATGGTTTTACAAGCTTCTGCTTGATATTTAGTGCCAAGAAAGCGTTCCAAACATACAATCAACATTTTGAGGTAAAAATTGTAAGTTGAAATTGCCTTTTCTTCACAATTTTCAATAAGCTCATCGTTATAACATAATTCAGAAAAAATATCATGAAGAATCGGTTCATTGAAGTGTGTTATGTCAAAGTCAAATGTCCTGTATACTAAGTCAGCAATATACTGAATAGTCTGTACTTCCATAAACTTTCCCATAACAAATGACTTGTCATTCTTAAATAATATATTTAACCAGAGACCTAGAAAAATATGATTTTATATTTACATCAATGTGAAACAGGCAGTGTTTGTTTTCTTAAAAAATTCACCATCATAACACTCACCTTCTTTAACAATATGCTCAATTCCTAATTTTTGAGTATTTAACGATTGTAACAACGTTATATAAGAATTAAAAATTGCCGAATCTTTGAGATTAGGCGAATCTTTAACTTGTTGTATCAACAGTTGTAATATATTTAAATCCATTAATATTACTAAATTATCACGTGACTTAAGCAGTATAGCTAAATACTTCAGGGCAAATGCATAGAGATCCCTTGACATGTGTTCCGTTATTACAGTTTTTTGTTTGTAAATATCCAACACTCTGAGGAACCATTTAGAATGAGTAGCGATTGGTATATTGCTCAGGACACTGTCTAAAATAATGATGAAAACACGTACAATGGACATTACAATTACACTAGGGGTAAAGCACTACATACCAGCATCGTTTAAACTTGTCAACAGTTTTTCTAGTAACGTTTTGTCTTGAATAGTGAAGTTTTCTGTTAGCAGACAGTCTAACGCTTTTAAAAGCTTACTAGCAACGCAACTGGACATAATTTAGTAGCAACACTCTTGGTACACTTACTTTTGAAAGGAATTATTTCAAATAAAAATGAATATTATACCTAGTTTTCATATTTTGAAAAAAATGCCGAGCGGCCGAAACTTCATAATGATAACACTTATCTCAAGACTATGTAACAGATAAAACGTGTACTATCTTTTGTAAAACTTAGATCTCTCTTAAAAATATTAGTGTTCTCTAAAATATGTTCGTAGCTTCAATATTATTGAGAAATGAGAATTTGACAAATACGAAGCTATAATTAATGTATGATAACGAATTTCCTCCTGGACCGCCGTGGCTACCGACTGGCAAGATGAAATACATCTTGATTTTTACCGCTAGAGGTCGTCCCATATACTAGCATTAATATGTGCGACAGGCCAGGCAGAAGTAGACGATGAATTATGAAAGATGAAAATGACGATCACGAGTACTTATGTGAGTTATGTCGTGTTCAAATAAAAAAATATTAAAATAAGCTCACAAATAAAAATGTACAAATTATAAAGGTTGGAAAATCATTTTAAAAAGGTAACGAATAAAAAAAAAAAATATGTATTATATAATTCCGTCATATGCGGTGTATTTATTAACATGTTAAAAGTAAGGATTTACAAGTCGAAAAATGACTTCTTTACATTTTATAATTACAAAATAGAAATAGAAATTATTATAAATCTAACAACGAATGTAAATGCCCAAGTTAGGATTAAACCTAAAACCTATCTTGTGCGTATTATATAAATATATGCTATATAGGTCAGTAATTAATGTAGATGTTTAGTTTTTAATTAATTATGGTAAATAACAATGTAAAGTAGGTGATTTATTTGCAATTTAATATACTCATTAAATAGCTTTAATGTCAGATTTAATGTAAGTTATCGTAGAGTAATAGATAACTACCTATATTGTCTTGTAATTTGTAAGTTCAATAAAAAAAATATAACTTAACAGAATAACTATTTTTGAAATTCTTTAAGTTTGAACCTAACCTAACCTTTTAGTGCTGTCTCGAATTACTCTTTCAAAATAGGTATTTTGAAAGAGCTATAACACAACAAAAGGAATGAAATAAGGATTGAAAAAAAAATACATAAACACAGCCATATTATAAAACACGGGCATTTTGAACATCAGATTTTCTCTTGGCAAGTCGGATGATACTGGACTACATTCCGTTTGATTAAACGGTGTACTATTTTCAAATGATTGGTCAGCGTCGACGATTTAGTGTACTGCTTTGGACATAGTTTACACTTATACGGTTTTTCTCCCGTATGTAATCGCATGTGTTCGGCGAGTACATAGGGCGAACACAATAGTTTCGAACACACCTAAAAACAGTATATTTTCCAACAATAGACTGAATTCATATTTTTTTTAAATTTTGCTACCCCTACACCCCCTCCATAGTTTTTGTTTGTCAAAAAGAAGAAATGCTTGACATTTTAGTCTTCTCAAATCTAAGTGGAGCCATATTTGCCCATGTATGATTAACACAAAAAATATATTTTTCATTAAAACCGTCAGAACTTCAAAATGTATAAATAAATGGGTTGAATTAAAAAAAAAAATCGGAAAGCTGACATAGTATCAGTATGTATCTTTAAAATATTCATAAATACATTTGTAGTTTTTATCCGATTTTTAATTACTTATAATGCCTAGGCAGTTTAACAATAAGCAACGAATAAAAATGTATCTTTAAACCATTGTTTACATCAATAAAAATAAACAACATCAAATGTCTCGTGAAACATTTTGAAGGTGAAATTGTCAGCTTCCGGAATATTTTTTGTTAAAACTATAAAAGATTCATAAGTTTTGAAGCTATGACGATTTTGATAAATTATAAATTTTTTAGGTGTTATTCAAATGGGGAATATCTCACCACTGGCTCGCCACTAAGAGTGCACCACTTAGAGTTGTCTTAGGAGGTTGAAATTTTAAACATTTCTTCTTTTCGACAAATGAAATCGATTCAAAGGGTAGGCAGCAAGACATGTTTTCCCCTGGGCAATTCTAAATACACATTGCGTACACTCGGTCGTGTAAACAGCGCCTTGGGACATAATAATAATACCTGCGAAATTATTCACTTACGTTGCACCGATGTTTATTGCCGACTCTAGTCGTCCTGGACGATTCGGGATTCCGGAGTTTTTTTTCGCAGCGATTGCACATTATCCTCGGGGAACATTGTCCCGTGGTGATTTTCAAGTCGAACACGCCGAAACATCCGTTGCACTTAGAGTAGGCTTTGACGCCGTGCGTGTACTCCAAATGGCCGCTGAGATTGGCCATTTGATGAAACTCCCTGATGCAAAGTTGGCACTTGTAGAGTTTCGGAGACGTCTTGACGTTGAAACACTGTCTTCGCCTTGTACTGCAACCGCCGTCGAACGTGGGTAGTTTGAATCTACCCAGCAGAGACTTTTCGCAGTTATACTGGCACACGTGCAAGTCAAGACTCTTGTTGCTGGAATCGTCGTCGTCTTGTCCGTTGTCGTAGTTGTACGAGAAGTCAGTTTCCATTGCCGTCGGATATAAACCGCCAATGTTGCCATAGTTTGTCTTATTGCACAAACTGTACAAACAGAGTATATTTTATAAATCAGTAAGGACTAAACCTATAAGGACATTGTACCGTTTATTCGATCTACCCACAATTACTTCTATAAAAAAATTGACAGTGGTACAGTTCTATTGCCAAAGTTTTTCAACCTCGCAAGTATCACAATAGTATTCCTATATTTCTTTAACGTCCAAACTGTTATGGGAAACTAATTTTTCCCGCGGATAAAGTTATACAATATGTTATACTGACTTGTCACTTTGTAACAGTAAATTAGCTTGACTTTCCGGGTAGAAGTAATTTTCAGTTTTGATATGCTGGAATTCCACTACTTCCCGATATTCTGTATTGTTGTTCAAATGCGAACTACAACTTAAAAATATTACGATTTTAGACATACATTAACTAACTACTCTATTGATTAAAAGGAAAATGAATAGGTTATTTGAAAAAGGGCCAAGTACGAAACCGGAAGTATAAGCATTTACAACGTTTTCAATAAACTAAATTGAAAATGAAGTTATAGATATCGTTATGATTATAATCATAACAATGAACGGTGGTTATATAGATACCTAGTATAAGTAATTAGTATGCATAAAAAATTATATGTATCCTATAGCATGTGCTACATTTGAACAAAACATTTTCGATGCGAATCAATAGATAGGAAAAATAAAAAATTATTTTAATTACGTTGTTACAATAACGTTAATCAATTAATTAGTTAATAAAAAATGGCTATAGTTTTTTTTGGGGTTTTCTAAAAAAAATTAACATTTTCGATAGGACACAGTAGACCTATTTTTAGATCTATCATCATATCGACCTAATTCGTCAGACCTAAGTCCAAATTCTATGTTAAAACAAATGTCTTACAATGGGATAACTAATTACAATTATCAAATATTAATAACATAATAGCAGGTACCTTTCATACAACACATCATCGCTTTCATTATCAAGTGGTTCCGTTTTGATATCAACGCATTCAGTTCTATAGTTTAAACAAAAAATATAAACAATACACCGTCTTAGTATGATAAAGAATTGTAATTAATTTGGAAATAATTACTTAAACATGATTGGATATAGGTTTGTAGAGAAAATCCTTTCGGTAGTCCCTTATGTTGTTAATATTATTTAGATTATAACTAAGTTATCTGTACATTATTCATACAAAATATTAAGTGTATATACAAATAAATGTAAGCGTAATGCTTGTGAAGTATTATGAAAATGATAAATTAGTTGTGGACATCAAAATTATTAACACAGTAGAATACGGTATACAGGTTTTATTTCGTTTGACGAGTAACTAGGTGAATTATATTGCTTAGTAACTAAAAAGCTGTGTGGGTCACGGGACCCCCGACAGTGGTTACCATGTCTACAAACCAATTGTTTATGTTGGGTTAGCAACCAAATAAACATATTCGTATTCGTATTTAAAGTACAAAATTCGCACACCCTTTCAAAAAGGTGGAATTTTCAAAAAGTACTATGCCAGAACCTTCGCGGGTGTGTACTCAACAACTCCCAAGAATTTTCAAAATGTGGCTACTTTCTGGAACACCCTATTATACTTAATAACTTCACTGACACAGATAAGTAATTAATTCAATAAATCAAACATTTTCTTATAATAATTAAACGAAATCATACACAAAACAAATGTATTCTAATAGTTAAGAAATCAAATAGTTAATAATATAATTAAAATACAGAAAGAAAAAATAAAACGTTGATAAAAAAAAATTATCATGGGATTGTTATTTGTTAGGTAATATTAGACCATCCAAAATGGTGTCAAATTAATTTTCATAATTTGCAAGAATTTGCTAGTCCACTTTTTCACTAACTATGTTCAAAATCATATTAAATTTGCAACTTGTGTTTTAGAATTTGGAAGTTTACAAAATGTGTTTGCAAATTAAATAGTAATTTAATAATAAAACAAATAATAATAACAACTAATGTTTTACAACTTTACAACATTTTTTTTTTGTATACTGAAAACTTCATAGGAACTATTTTATATTTTAAACATGAAACAATATTTTCTATATTTTGTTCATTTGTTAGATATACCTATTAATTTATTAAACGAGGACCAATAGTTGGTATAAATAATTTGTCAATAATTATTATTGTTATCCGTTTATCTTTTATTTGATGCGGGTAACATGTTTTAAAACTATTTTTAGATACATATTAAGTATTATTTTTGATGTAATTAGATGGCATTATTATTAATTATCGAATTAATTGACTGACTCTTTGTGTTAACATTATTTTTGAATGCACCTATTTAAGAGTATGAATTAAAAGAAAGTGTTGCCATTTCAATATGCAATCGCCATGTAAGTTATTGTTACATGCAATATAAATTTTCATTTACATGAATAGATTTTCAAGTAATTGTATTTAACATGTTAACCTTTAAACATTAACAACCTTTACCTATGTTCGTTTGATTTTTAAGTATGTTACTGTAATAATATTTTTATTATGTTTATATTGTTTCTTTTTTTTTTGGTTTAAAAAATTGTTAAGCCATATTGTTGTTATTTTTACATTAGGTTATAAGTTATTACATATAGTTAGTACGTTGTATTATTTCTAATGGCTAAAAATAATAGGTATAATGTATTTGTTAGAAACGGTTAAAACAAAATCACTTAAGGCTCCTAAGCGATAAATAAACAATAATCGTTACTTTTACATTTAACGTCAACTCAAACAATATTTCTCCTGAATAAAATTCAGTGGTTTCTTTGAGTTTTGATTTATGTGTTTTTTTAATTAATTAAAGGGTGAATGAAAAGATTATATTCACCGAGGTGACTGAATTTCTGGAAATGGCGGCTGTCGGTAAAGCAATTGTCGAAAAATTATTTGAATGTATGTATATATTATATTATTATTATTGTTTCTTTAGAACAAAACAGGATAATTTTCAAACATAAATACATTAAACTCATTAATTAGTATTCTTTAATAATTTATGGCCCTGTAAATAATATTAGAAATATTTTAAAAATGTCCAACGTTAAACAGTTGTGGCGTTCTCCAGACAAAGGGCCAATGGAATAATAGGATTTTTTTCGGAAATGGTTTTAAATGAATCATTATGATAAATTTGGATATTTTAAATTCATATAAATTAAATTTGGAAAAAAATGTTTTTCTAAATTTAATTTCATTACTCATTTGTATACTAGTTAAATAAATGAATAATGTACATTAACAGTTTATTCGTGTAATAATATATAACATTTCAGATTTTATAAAATAACATTTTTTAAATAGTGGTTTGATTTTCAAGTATTAATATCGATGTTTATATTTTTTGCACTCATTATGGATTTTCTTGGTGAAAACAATGTTTTACATAAAACCCGTTTTAATAATATCTATGATATAATACAACACCTTAACGACCTATCAACACGACATCAAAAATATTATAAATAAATAATTTGATTGTTTAAAAAAAAATTGTTGACGGTTGCTTGGTAAATTATTGATTGTTTTTTAGTAGCACAATCGGTGAAAATAAACGTTTTGATTTAGTTTTGACAAGTTGTTAATTTTTAACATGAAAAGACGCGTTTGATTCTCCAATTGGAAGTTTTATCAAAGTTTTTTTTTTAAATTACCGACATGATTGAAACCAGAAACTAGACGATGAATGATGGATGTTGGATGGATAGAAGAGACACATATAAGTAACTAGCTAATCATCTGAACGGGGTAAGTAGCGTACATTAAAACTATTTTTGTTATCGACTATCGTTAATAATTTTTTTATAAAATTATTATAAACATCTAATATTATTATTTGAGTGTTATTTATTATGATAACCTATTTTATTAGTGGCGAAACGTCCTAGAAGACTATGCCCACTTTTATTTAATTTAAATATCAAATATTTGGTTACAAATTTTCAACACCATATTTTTTTAATCGTTTTCCCGAAGACATATTATCAATACTCCTGTTTATATAATAATTTTTTTCTATACGAACATATTTTATTCCAGTATATAAGGGTATAACTCGTTGAGGTCCCGGCTTGAGATTGTCGACAGTTCGTAGAGGACCGTGTGATGAACGTGCGAGGTGTTATGTGAAGTAAGACTTTATGACTGAAAAATTTTGTGTCGCGCGGAAGCGGGTAACCGCTTGTGGAACGTGACATCGTAAAAGAGTAGTAGGAATTATCGCCTGAAAAGCTGACTCTTGCACAGAATCCGGATATCTCGAACGGCTGACGCTCAAGTTCGGCTGGCTTCCGACGTTATAGACCGGACTATGCTGGAATCGAATATGGTATAGTAAACACAACAGGTTAGGTCATAGCTATGACAAGAATAGCGAAGACGTCTATGACATATCAACGGGCAAGAGGTTCAGTTAGCTGAAGTCTGGATATGGAAATCGGAATACCAAGCTGCTTGCGCAATAGCACCACGACAAATAGATAATAATAATTTTTGGATAAACATAATTTTAGTTTAGGCCTGAGAGTACACTAACGGATCGGCGGACGACGAAGACTGATAAATACAATAAGCAGAGCAATGATCGATCTCTGTGTCTGTAACAATAATTACTGTAATAACCAGAAGGTTGGAAAGGAAGCGAAGGAGGTATGGAATCATCAAACGACAAATTGACAAGCCACAGTCTTCAGTAGGATCAAGATGTAAAGGTAGATTATAAATATTATTATAATTTAGCAAGGGGACTCGAATTACACCAGTCCAAATTTTAATTTTACTATATATTTAATTATATATGTTGTCCTGTATATATAATAGTATACTTATTGTGTTTTATATTTGTGTATAAATATTAATTGCTTATTTATATGTACAATAAAATGTTTACTAGATGTTTGACTTTTTTCACTTAAGTGCTTGACTCGGAAAATTCATACAAAATTTGGTCGTCTTAATGAACATTTATTTTTCATGATGTTGTTAATTGTCCATAATAATTCGTGTATTTATATTGTTTAAAAGAAATCTAAAAAAGAGGTTTGGGTACCTTTCTCATATGTCTTTTTGTTGCGCATTATGCCTCCAAGTCAAGTACTCGTGGATTAGGTCTGTGTATGATGGTGTAGTTAGGTCCTGCGATTCGAAATGAACATTTTTGTTTACTAGGTACTTATCCTCCATCGAAGTAATCACAGAACTAACCATTAATTTAATATTATTACTATGTAATCCCACTACTCGTTTATTTACAACATTTTTTCCCCGTTAACACTCAGTTGCGCGTTAAACATATCCTTGTAAAATTTACAAATATTTCATTATTTTGAAAAGACAAGCTTTTCTATACAAATATATTCTATGCCAGTATGTAAGGGTATAACTCGTTGAGGTCCCGGCGGCTTGAGATTGTCGACAGTTCGTAGAGGACCGTGTGATGAACGTGCGAGGTGTTATGTGAAGTAAGACTTTATGACTGAAAAATTTTGTGTCGCGCGGAAGCGGGTAACCGCTTGTGGAACGTGACATCGTAAAAGAGTAGTAGGAAGTATTGTCTGAAAAGCTGACTCTTGCACAGAATCCGGATATCTCGAACGGCTGACGCTCAAGTTCGGCTGGCTTCCGACGTTATAGACCGGACTATGCTGAAATCAAATATAATTCGCACATTAGTTCACGTATAATTTTACTGTTTACTAATTCTTTCACATAAACTACTTCCATATATTTGTTATGGTTAGTAGTGGACTTAGGTACTTATGTCTCGACTGTTCGTAGAAGCGCATATGATGAATGTGCGTGATGTGCTATGTAAGACCAGCGAGTACATATGGTACATATGCGGTCTGAAAAGCTTACCCCACAGACACCGTATGCCCGTTGTATGAACGTCTGATGATATTATACCCAAGTTAATTTATCTACTAAAGTAAAGACACGACACCTCCACTATACATACCATTGAGTTTTATCTACCACAATAATTAGAAACATCATCATACATGGAGATACCACGTTAAAAAAAACGAGCCGAATACTCTACCTCACGGGTGGTTCGGAAATGAGTATAAATAAAAAATTATGTAATTCTAACGTCAAGTTATGTGTTAGACATTAAATGACATTTTTTTTTATATTAACTTGACAGTTAATAAAATATCATAGATCATAATTCAAGAAATTCTAACCAAAAATATTTTTACAAAATAAATTATTTTATAATTTTAATGACAGTAGTTAATGGTTTACAATACAAATTTAAGCAATTAAAAACATTTCAATTTTTTTAAATAGTTTTAGTAAATATTTTAACATGGACGTATGATTATACTTTAAAAATATATTTTAAAACTTTCAAGAAATATAATTATAATAATTGATTTAACATTATTATAACTTAAAACTTAATTAAATATTTCATTTTAATTTCGGCTTTCGCTATAAACGAAAACCATAGGATAATAAACAGCTGTTTACAGTATGTATACACAAAACACAACGGTTAAGACTTCAAATGTGAATCGTAAAAACAAACTATTATGCAATTAATCTTTGGCAATATCATCAATAAATGATTTTATTATCGAAAATTAATTTATATAATACTTATTTACTTTAAGTACAATAACACAGTACATCAACCGATTATCGAAATTTATGCTTAAAAAAAAAATACTAGAAACACAGTAATCACAAAATTAATACAAAAGATTCGATAATCTTGTGCATTAAAAATTAAGTACAATAATCATATTAATCATTTTAACTAGATAGATACTCTTCTGGTTCTGTTCCGAAGTATCGATCACCGAAGTTTCCAATTCCAGGCAAAACGTGAAACTTTTCATTTATTTCAGGATCAACAGCTGACGTAACAATACGTACTTGAGGAAAAGCATATGCAATTGTGTGCACACCTAAAAATAAATAATTTTAGTACACAAACATTTTTAATTTATTATAATTAAGTGCGTACCAGATTCTGCCATAAGTAACGACACTAGTAAAATATTATCTTCAGGAACGTCATGGTCTAAAAGTACTCGAATAGCCATCATTGCAGCTGCACCAGTAGCTACTGTAGCATCCATCAATATCACCATGTAGTCTTTAATGTCTTTAGGCAAACGCAAATAGTATAGCTAAACAGATTAATAAAAAAAAATTAAATATCCAGAAATGATAAAAAAACAAGTTATTAATAAAATTGTATACCTCTGGTTCGCCAGTACATCTGTTTGTTTGAATTAAAATTTTTCCAATTCGAATATCTTTGCAAACATCACAAACTGCTTGTTCCATTGTTTCACCGGCTCGTAAAATTGACACGCCACAAATCTTATCGCTGGCACATCGCTTACCCGGATAAGGTACACACTGTGGTGTTTCCACTATAACGTCCTAGTAAAAACCGACAGTTAAATTTGTAAACGTGTTTTAACTATTAATAAAAACTAGAATACATTTAGTTCAGTGGCATAGTTGTATAGGTATACACTGTGTACTTTTAACGAAAATTGTATGTAGGAGAGTGGGAGATGGGTACACATTACTGATTTAATTTTTAAATTTGTTATATTAAATACATACCTTAAATGGTAACAGTGAGAGCGCAAATTCAATGACTAGCCTTATAAGCCGTTTTGAATAGAATATGAACTCGTCTTTAGGGGTATCTTTATTTCGAATAAAGGTATGTAAGCCTTGTGTTTGAGGCGTAGATGGCAACAGATGGATAGAACTAGGAAAAGGTTGGCCGACATATGACATCGCAAGTGTTTCACGTAGCTTGAATCCTCGCTGAAAAATTATAAATAAATTAGACAATGTAATATTCAAAACTCCGATATAGTATGACAAAGAATCTGTTTAAAAAAATTATTTGAAATAATAATAATGGTAATAATATTATGCATCATTATCATTTAGCCATACTCACTAAGACAATGGATTACTTTGTTAGATTGCACAACTACAATTGAGTATGATCAACAGAAGTCTTATACTTATTTTTATTATTTATATTGACTCCTATCCATTTTAAATTCACTCCTAGATTATTTATTAACCTTACTATGAATTATTGTAACAATAAAGTGATTAAAAATCTATAATATGCAGGTCAACCAATCAAATATTTTCTATTGCTATTCATGTAGATAAGCACAATGTATTGTTTTCAATAGTGACAATCTAATGAAATATGTAAACACTGAAATAATATCTCTAAAATTAAAATTGTCATTTAAAATAACAACACTATTAAAACCCAATAATATAAAACAAAAATAAAATAAGGAAAACTTATTAAAATTGACTGAAAATAAAGATAATATTTTTATATAAAAATGGTTATTATCAATATTAGATAATTGAACAATGTACAAATTCTATCAAAGATAAAATATAGTTTACATAAGTTCATTATTTTACTAAGCTAAATAAAAATAACTGGTATCTCACAAACACAAATAGAATAAATTGTTTATTTAGCTAACTGGCCCAAAATACTAGTAGTATCAAATTTATCAAAGCAACATTAATTTGTATGACCTTTAAAATGATATTAAGGCAGAATAGAAAATAAAAAAAGCCTATTTTATGCATCACTTATTAAAATTTTTTCTTGTGTAAGAAAATAGTAAATTGTCAAACAATACTTAACCATAATAAATGTACTAATAATGTGAAACCATAATAAGTTCAATATGTTTATTTTATGTTCAATATCTTTTATGTTTTATATTATAATCAATTTATAAATAAAATATAATATGATTAATTTGTGAGGATTTTTTTTACATCTTTTTACGTTTTTGATTACACTACACACGTGTTTTGAATTATTAGTCAACATTTTTCAGTTTTTAGATTTACCGCTTGAAGTTGTTTATGTACGTGTCGGACTATCAGTTCAATGGCTACAGTATTGTCTCCACCTCGAGGTACAATAATGTCAGCATGAACCATTGATGGTGCTATGTAATGTGAAAATGATGGTTTCACCATATTACAGTACTGTTTAAGAACGCCTTGAAGATCTCTGCCTCGTTGAGATATATCTCTTTTCAGTCTTCTAGCTAACCTAATATCGGCATCTGTATCAACAAATACTTTCATATCCAACAACTGTAAAAAATAATAAAAAGTATTATTATTCAAAACAAGGCTTGTGAATAAACAAAAAGAGAAACAGGAGAGAAAATAGATCAGTTGGTTTGGTCACGTTAACACGATGAAAAAACAAGAAATAATAAGACTTGTAACAATAACAAATATCTCAAGAAAGAGAAAACTCAATGGTTAGAAATATATGAGAATAGCTTTTAAGAGGTTGTTTTAAGTAAAAAATGTAAAGGATTTGTGTGGCGAGATCCCAATAGGGAAATTAAAAATATTAATTTCTTCATCTAATGTTACACAAAATTGGGCGTAAGCCAGAATACACAGATAAAACATTTTAAGGTTTTGAATTAAAATCTTAAAATATAGAATATAAGTATACACTTACTTGTAAAACTTCTGCATTATAAAATGCCATAATTCCTTCAAATATTATAACATTAGCACCATACATAGTTTTCTAAAAAAAAAATAAAAAAGGTTAATGTGGTTAGTATTAATGTAAAATATGTCAGGCAATTCAAAAATGTAATAACAACAATAAATTCTAGTTACATTGAAACCATGCTCAATAGTAAATTATTTTGTCCAAAATTTAAATTAAGATTAAAAAAGCAGGCAATGAGAGTGATGAATGAATGGTGTGCAGTCAGCCAATGTTACAACCAACAAGTCGACAATTTTGTATAAATATGTTCTTTTGTTTAAGGGATACATTAAAAACAATATTTGGCAAAAAAAAATGTTAATCTGTTTAGGGCAATGGATAATTTTTTTAAACTCTTAAGTGCACAGTAAGTGACACTGCATTCTACATTTCCCCACAATTTTGCATATAAGGGTTAAAGTAGATATTTTTAAGAAAATAAATAGAACTATATATCCAGTTTTTATTTAGAATTTTTGTTTGAAAGGTAGGTAAATACTTAATTATAAAAAAAAAATGTTTGCAATAACTGCTTGACAATAATATCTTTATGAAAATAGCCATTAAAACTACAAATACAATTAATAGAATTCAAGGTGAACTAGACAAGCTTTGATAATGAGAAACAAATTATGTTTTTATAAATATTTGTTATTAAGCATAAGAAAAATATCAACATACATATATTCTCTTAAGGAAACAAATAATAAGTTTTGAGTATGAAAAACATGAACTCTGTTCAATACTCAGATCAGATAATTATTTATAGTTCAACATAGTAAACATTAATTTAGCAAAATTGGTAGTTATGGTATTACCACTGATAAAAGTAAAACACATAGGTAGTTAACATGTTTTTGATCAAGTTACAATTATGATTCATGTTATATAAAGTAATGTTCACAGAGAAATACATATAATCTCAAATAAAACTTCTAAAATAACTAGTTAGTACAAAATCTATACTCTATTACCAGTACTCTATTTTAGACCTTTCATCATCATCATCAGCTTAATGGGGCTTTAAGGCCCAACGCTGACATCATGAGATGATAATTTCAAAATAGATTCGTTGCCTGGGACAGATTGTCAGTCCGTCGTCGTCAAGGGGGATGGCGGCTCATTTTCACTGGACGATTGCTCGCCCAGTAAACGGAGCGCCTGTGACTGAGTGTCGAACCGGCGACAGTGAGCGTTAACACACTGTCGCCTTACCCACTCGGCCACTTCTCCTCCTTTTATTTAGACCTTTTTTGTTATATCTTTTATTTTATTATTTTAGACCTTAAGTTTGAAAAATATTTTTTATCTTTAACAGATAAACTTTTTCGTAAAATCAATCAGATGCTTACAGTTTTCATTTCTCTAGAGTGCGTGACAAAGTTATAAATAGGTACTTCAACTTTTTTCCCATCCTTTAGTCTTTGCAAGGTAGAAGTTAAAAGTTCAAAATCAAACGCTTCTGGGTGGTCAAAATTGTACTCGTTTCGAGCTGCTTTTTCGTGTTGGTCTTCAGTTAGTACCTGATTAAAGTTGTAGTAATATTTTGTTAATGTACAGAATTTATGATTATTTATTAAAAAATAAAAAATGTTATACGGCTTACGAAAAATATATAAAAAAATGCACCTTATAAAATGAGTCCATGCTAAGCAACACAACCCAAGGTACATCTAATGATTCTATAATTTTTCTAGCCACAGTTGTTTTACCAGATGCACTTCCACCACATACGCCTAAATGTGGTATGTAACTTATTATATTATTAATGATTATATATTACTATCAACTCAGACCAATTATTTATCTAAAAAATGAAAATAATTTCTATTAGTTAACTTGATAACTAACAATACTTACCAATAACAAAGGGTTCAACTTGTTGTCCAGCTGTATTATACCACGGCGGTCGTCCTGCTGTGTAAATAGTACGAGTATGAGATTGTAATACAGATTCTGTAGAAGTTTTTTTAGTCGACTGACTAACAGACGTTGTTCTTTGTCTTAGAGTCGACCGAGGAGACTTTAACAGTACTAAAGAGTTATAAAAACAAAAAATAAATTTAGAATATTTTCTGCTATATAATGAAATAATTAATATTATGATGTGAAATTTGATTAAAAACTACCAGAAGGTGAAGTTCCTGTAGACTGCTTTGACGGCGACATAGTGGACGAAATTATACTATCACTTTCTTCATCATCATTATCTACAATTACAGAAATTTCTCCAACAAGGTCTCGATATTCTGTCAAATCACTGAAATATAAAAAATATAAAAAATATACATCCATTTCTATACTTAACTCATAATTGCCTAATTTAAAAGTTATAGTTTACACTTTTTAACAATTTAAAAGTGATAAAGAATAAGAAGAGTATTATTATACAAGTAATAATAATAAAAAATGTATTAGCAAAAAATACTTGAGTTATTTTAAGTCCATACAATTGTAAGTAACTAACAACAATTATGGTAGTCAGAAGAAAACGGACTTGCCACATAGGTATATTTTTTTTTTTACTCATTTGAAAATTAAAAATTATTTTATGAAGCATACACATGCAGTTGTTGACCTTCATTAAATGTTGACATTTTTACCTACTTAATAATAATTGCTATCTATTAAACTATTAATCAGAAATATGAACACAAAAGTATATTACATCATAACATTGAATACTAACCTATCAGAACTGGCAGAGCTTGGTGGGTCGAATTTAGCAGCCATTGTTTGCACCTATTATGTCAGAACAAAATTACTATTTCTAAGAATTATCTACAGGTTAACATAGTCGTAAAAATATGCAGAAATCAATAAGTATAAAGGAATATTAACATATTTTAAAATTCACTATCAACTATATTAGTGTCAATTTATATTTTTTATTATAGTAATAATTATAAGTAGATTATAGTAGAGAAGAAAATTATAATAATATGAAAAAGACTACATTATAAAACAATTTAAAGGGTTAATTATACTATATTATGATATCATACCAAAACGATAGATCAACTTATAATATTATGGTAATTTATGCTAAAATTAAAATTAAATAGGTAGTCAGTCGTCAGATGTTGAAAGTGTGACAATCGTTCCCCAATTACCATTTCGAGTTCAAATCATGAGGATATTTTCATGATAACAAATTCTCACATGTATGAAGCTAGTAATTTCATTCTAGAAATTCATGATAACGAATTTTCTGCTGGACCGCCGTGGCTACCGACTGGTAAGATGAAACACATCTTGATTTTTACCGCTAGAGGCCGTCCCATATACTGGTTAAAAGAAAACATATTACCTTACTCCATAGACTATCCTAGCTATGAGAAACCATATAATGTAACCTATATCCATTAATTATGTATTATTAATTAATGATGTAATGTGTAAAGTTTGGATAAGAATAAAATATTTAAAGGTCGAATATAATGTAAATAGCATACTAAGATATACTTATATATTATTATAGTTAAAGAAAAAATTACCCTGGAATTCTCGTAAATGTTCCCATTGGATACTTTCATTCAGGCTGATATTAGGTTATACACACTATAACATTTTTCTTCCTCAGTATTCTTTGCACTATTCTACTCGGCAGCAAGTACCATACTATATTTACAAAGATTTCAACTTTATTCTTGCATCAAAACTAGTAGCCTCTGTCTCCACACTGGTAATTTTTAACTTCTTATTGGCTTCAAACTGTTCTTTTTTTTTGGTGAAAAGTGCGCTAATTTGTTTTTAAATAAGATGCCCATTTATTAATACAACTTAGACTAGTAATCATTAAGGTATATTTCTAGTTTTATAGAGTAAAGTAGTGAACTGAATGTTTGTCCTTAAAAATCACTTTTACGTAAGATTTCTCTTTTAGACTTGCTTTATGAAAAAAACCGACCTAGTGGTTAAAAACTACCGTGGGTCCAGATAATGCTAATGTAATATAATACTAGTAAGACATAAAACTGTGTAAAAAAAAAGACATCAGGTAGACGGGTAGAACTCATGTTTTTTGTGTGAAATGGGATCAATGCACGTATAAGATTACAATTTTGTATTTTGTGCAATATTGTTACAAATTATAAGGTAAGCAGACACCCCAAACGACTGATTTATATACGATTTGGCTTAATTTTAAATTAAAAAAATACTCTCCATTAGAAGTGTTATTATATTAAAATATGAACACGCAATTTTACTCATTATTTAGAATTATCATTAGACACCAAAAACTGACGAAAAGTATGTGAAACGATAATCAAGGTAATTTTTTAATATAAAATCTTAATAAGTTTTACATTGAACATTATGGAATAAAGTGTCTCGTAGTGTGGAATACTGATTTTTTGATTTATTAGAAAAATATACAATCTGTACACTACAATATTCGTACAATGAGCATAATATGGTATGGTTAATATGTACAGTTAGCAGTGTATCACCTTTTTGAAGAAACCATCCAGTGATGGAACTCCAATAGCTGGAAGGAATACTGATTAAAATTATTTTTTAGACAACATATGTAATTGTGGTGTATATCATATGATGCTTTTTGCATATTATGTTGGGTCATTTTTTAGCTTTAGCCGGCAAACGTTTGTGTGTGAAAACTAAAGTCTCTAAGAGCCATTACGATTTATATTTTATAATCAAGCATTTTAATAATGCATAAATAACACAAGACTTCTTAAACAAATAATTGTTTAAGAAGTCTTGTCTTTAAGAAGTCAATTCAGAAGAATTGTTCAACAATAATGTTGAAGATGCATATTATTTTAATACGTCAATCATAAATATTAAATACGTTGTATTCGGGTTAAACAGAAAGTTTTACATGACTGTTTATTGTGTAGTTTATAAAGTAATATTATAAGAACGTTGTGGGGATCGGGCGACAATGCAATGACATCAAACATAGTAGGTAAACCTAAAGTTATAGCAATGCCTGAAAATTACCAGGAACCTGGAATGACCAGAACTCGTTTTAAAATAAAGAGTAAGTAATTATTGTGCTTAGCGAATAACTTATTTTATCTATAATTGGTATGATGTGAAAAATAACAGATTGACATGACTCGGACGGTTATGAAGAGGATGAATATAAGTATAAAACCATGAATAATGACTGATTGAAACGAAGGTCGGATCGAGATGACAAAGTGGAAAGCTGAAGTGAAATCGGCTTGGGAAATTGAGAAAATGAGAAGGATATGTAAAAGTGCCAGGACCCGGTGCAAGTAGAATAATAAAATAGGTGATATATTATGATTTGTGGGGACTCAGAACTTGGATTTTCTTGAGTTTTAAAAACTCAAATTTGCGTTATTTTGTATAATAAATAATACTATTCGTGTACACCACTTTCTAACCGGTTAACTCTAATTCGCTGTGTATCATACTTAAAAATATATTGATTAAATTGCCACGAAGCACAGAAAAAATACTAATATTTTTAAATTGCAGTAAAAAAAACACCAATACAAATAAACAAGATATGGTTCAATAATAACATATTTTATTGTTACTAAACAAAATAATAAATCATATGTATATTATATATATATATATATATTGTGCGACACAAATATAACAATCAATATTGTGGGAAAAAAACCTCCTACATTCCATCAAAATAATATTACAAGTTTACAGGTTAGTTATAAAAGTTTTTGGATATTTTTGTGTGGTTATATTTATCACTTCAGCATTTATTGAATCATCCGTTCTGTTGTCACATAATTGAATCGTAGAATCTGAAAGAAATATAAATATATATTATGATGTATGCACTTATAAATGTGTTATAAATATATTATGTAAACACAATAATAATATATAAATAAAAACTAGTATTAATATAGACTATAGACTAGTATAGCTATTGCATAGATAGTGTCATCAACGTACATAATATAATTACTGAATATTTAAATTTCAAGCTGTAATTAAATATATTGTTAGTAACATGTACTGATGTGCGTAAAATCTTATTTGGTTACCAATTATACAGGATCATGGTAAAATAAATATGCTCAGTTGACCGTAGAAAATTATTAAAGTAAGCGGGTTTTTGACTTTCTTATAAAACGAAATTTGTTTTATCCTAAGTATACACAATATCTTATTTTGAATCAGATGTCTATTAGCTTTTATATTCCCTTAATGCATAATAAAAGAAATTGAACACTTTAAGTTGATCACCATCTCTCTATCTTTCAGTGTTTCAAATCCTGTGTCCTTCGAGTAACAGCAGTTACTGTTACAAATTGTACGTCCGAAGGGAAATTTTTCCATCAAACAAAAATGTTATTTAATTTTATTTTTATTGTATTTATCATACAAATAAATGTTTTGGGTTCTGGAAATGTATTCATTATTTTACGGTTTGTTTTTACACGTACGCCTTATAAGAAATGGCGGAAGCCTTCATTTTAATAAAAAAAGAAAACTGATACAAACTTGTAATAAAATAAGAAAGGAGTAGGCGGCTGGAGAGCATACTGCCAAAAACATAATGTATAAACCGTACAAATGTACAAATTCATATGTATAAAACTAAAACCTTTAAAAGTGTAAAGAAAAATGTTCTGGTCTTAAGGTTTAAAAAATCTTTTATATTATCTTTCATATTCCTTGAAATGTTTTCCGAAACGATTTTAAATATATTATATAACCTAAAATCAGTATTGTAGCTGACCTTTAAATTATACTGTCAATTGAACATAAAATATTTTTGCTAGAAATCGAATTGTGTGTGTGTCTATTAATTTAAGAGAAACAAATCGTTTCACATAATAATAAATAATATTAGATCGTCTTCATTAATAACCGCACGAATATGAATTAAATGTTACCTATGCAAAATAGTTAAATTCTGACAGTACTACTAGGAATAGGTATTCCTAAGTGCTACAGGCCAATAGTGACCTTTTGCTTGCAAACGATTCTTCTTAAAACACCAAATTTGATTTTTTTTATTAAATGCCACTTTTTATTATGCGTAGTAATTTGTAGTATATTATGCTAGTTTAGTTATCCGGCTATATTTTTGTATCTCTTCTTTTTTCTTTTTGCATGTCAAATCCTCTCTTTCCATAAATCCCCATTCGCTATACATATTTTTTAATCCTTATTGTCCATATGATATCATTTATAAACAAAATATTACTTTCAATATATTTTACTTTTTTCAAAAGGGTAGTGATGTTAAAGTTTCTATACATTTCCTGCGTCTAGATTAATAATTTTAGACTATATAATTATGGAACAGAAGTTTTTTTAAATAATGTTCTAAATGTGAATGAAACGTTGTCTTTTAATTGGCTTACATATTTTTCATATCGTGACAAAACGTCCTAAATATCAGCTCTCGCTTAGGTAATGTAATTATATATTTTTATATGGGAGAATGTCCTAAAATGTCTGTTTCATATCCATTATACGGTACCTACACTATTTAGTCTCTAGACAATAATATTATTTTTTCCGATTATAATATAATTAAAAACGGTGTTGTTTAATGGTTTTGTAAAATATTCAGTCAGAAAAAAATGTTTTAAATACCTATTGTACACCGTAATGTATATTATTATTGTGCAATACCATTAGTCTTTTTATAGACTATAGTTTTTTTTTTCAAATAAAACGTTAAACTGATTGTTATTTCTGGCTGATTACTCTTGTTTAGGGGAAGTATGATCAATATCGACATTTTTAAGGGTTCAATACTTTATAATCAGTTTTTAGTATAATATAATTATTAACTACCTGGCGTGATAGACATTTCGGAGGGCGTAGACATGCCTTGTTTCCAGTTGGCGTGCAACAAGTCACTAGATTTCAGGCTGGGGCCGTCTAGGTCGGGGAACTGTACATGTTTTCTAGATCCCCTGCGGGATCCAGCTGACGAGGATCCGATCGTCGTTCCTGTAGTTTTCGTGGGACTTTGTGTAGGGGAAACTGGTAAAGTGCCCGGTCTCCTGGAGCTCAGACAACTCGTGCCAGTCGGCTGACACGTGTACCTCACCGACGCTACCTGCTTGAAGTAAAATCAATATTAATTACAAGCATAGTCTTAACTGCATTCAAAATAAATAAGAGTAACCAAAAATGGAATCGTTACGGTTCCGATCAAAAATGTTATAATACTAACAAGATAAGAGTTGACATAGAAGTGTAATTATGCAATACAATTTTAATTTATTTATTTTACAACCAAGTAAAAACATTACGTAATACCGTCATAATCGGGTAAAATATAAATTATATTATGCATGAACTGAAAGTTCAGCTTTCAAGAGCATTCATTGTGTTATTTTGTACAAACAAAAAATAAATAACTTAATAAAGAGGTTTGTATAATCCAGTGTTTTGCATAATGTATTTGTCATAATAAATAAATATTTATACAAAACATAACGAGAGCCCAGAAGTTCCCTTTGGCCAAAATCTTAGTTTGGTGATTTGTTAATGAGTTTTGAAAACTTACTTTTAGGGTTTGTTCAAAATAAGCGGTACCTCTTCCGGCCATCAATTCTTGATATTGCGATATAACACAGAGAACTGAATAAATCTGTAAAAAAAATAGTTAAACGAAATTTCATTATTAATCAACTAGGTATAAAAGTAAATAATGTGAAGAATTAAAGTTATGTCAATGAGTTTGTTTATTATAAAAAAAGGGCAATTAATTAGATTCCAAAAGAAGATAGTTGCGATAACATGAAGATATATTTTTTTTTTAGTAGAAAAAAATTACACAGCCATTAAAATTTATTTTAGAAGCTACATTTATTATAATCATTATTATGTTAAATGTTATTTGTAATTTGTTATACTATTTAAAAAAAAACTGTATTATGTATACATTTATTTGTGATAACCTGCAAACGTAAAAAGTTTTGAGCAACGTTGTGTCGCATCATTAGCTGTAATAGAGGTCAACATCAATAATGTCCAAATAGATGATACTATAAGACCACAAAGCATGGACATTGTAACTAAATGGACGAGACGAGACTTGAATTGCGAGACAAAAAGACGCGAAACAGACAGTTTGAAGAAGCCATTAACCCTATCGGTATGGTACCTACTCAGGTGTATGTTCTATTTCGTACTATGCTTGTCTCTAATATGACACTGAGGTAATTAATGATCGGTTATGTTCTAGTAATTAATTATCCCACAATATAGTAGTCATTTCTAGAGTATCATATGCCATACAAAGCTGCTATAAGTATATAGAAATGTACTTTACAGCGTTATTTATTATTTTAAAACTAAATAGCAAAAAACAAAACATGTGTAATATTTTAATATAACTAATGTAATTTTGCTGTAACAACCATTTGTATCAATACGTATGTAAATGAAGGTTACCGGTATCTGAAACTACTTTTTGCCGTTAAACATGATAAACTGTCATGTCATGAAAACAAATTAAAAAAACGGTCATAATTATTCGAATATAATTTAACATGTACATTCGGTAAACTTTAAATAAACATGATTTTTCCCCATATTTTTTAGTTAAATAAATGTAAATATATTCCGGTGTATTTTTCTAGTAAGGTTATTGGCACATGACATCGTGTTTCCTGGTAAAAATATGTCCAAATAAGACAACTCAACTAATTAATGCTAAATTAATCGCATACACAAAAAGAAAGATTATAGTTATTATTTAAAAAATTTTCATCTATACCTTTTATAATCGAGGTCAAATATTACAAATGGGCTATTGACCGAAAACGCTGTGCGCAAGTACATTAATATTCAGTTGGCAATAAAATCAGCAAAATAAAACTTTATACTAAGAAAAACACAAACATTACATTTCATACGGTTAAAATTTCGCAAAATAAATGGAATTTTTATTAGCCAACTACATTTAATATAGTAATCTATTATGTGTTTAGTTTATTTTTTATTGAATGTTTTATTGGACGCGACTGTAAGTGACCATGTAATCAAAGTGTAACATAATCTACGAGTATCCTTATAGTAGTATAATATATATAGCTGGGTGGGATCTAAGGTTTTAATGGGAGGGGAGGGGTGTTGACAATTTAAGCAAGTGTCAATCACCAAACCTAATGATTTCATTATTTTACACAATGCCTATACCTACCAAACAACACAATGGGCCATTTTTTAAATAGTTATAATGATAAATATTGCATTATATATTTGACGGATAAGTATAAAATGATTGTTTCAAAATATCGTGAAAATATTTTTTTAGTGGTAAATAGTTTAGTGATTTTTTAATAATTTTAATTTTATACGTTTTTTTTTTCTTTATGGATTTATGTATACACACCTGTTTTTAGTATTTAATTTATAGCTAATTTCACTTTTTGTAATTTTTGGCAGAAGAGTTTTTAAGTCCTCGTGATATTTTTTTCAAAAACTTTCATTCCTGTTCATTCTTGTCACGGAAGTCTAATTTTTTTACACCATATGAAGTGAATATTTTAACTAATACGTTTATTGGTATCATTTTTTTCTTCTCAAAAATGTATATTTACGCTGTTAGACTCATGGTAGAGGTCTAAACACAGATTTACACTTATAAAGTTACATTCATCAAAAACAAAATAAACCATCATGGGACCGAGGGAAGAATACCCGCTAGCATTCCTCCTGTTTATGTTTGTGTAATGTTTACACGTATAATAAGTATTCGATAAACTCGACGGTAATAAAAAAATTAAAAACACCTGCTATTCGAGATCTTTGGCAGCTTTGTAAAAAATATACCTGCGTTCGCCTCTCTTGAATATTACAATAATAATAATAATTATTTATTTCGAAGAAGCGGTCAAGTGGAGGTCGACAACTCAACTACTTCTAAATTAATTTTCGTTGGGTCGTCGGTACTCTAAAAAAATAAATAACAATAGTAATAACGTCTCCCTCTTACTTATGTACTTATAGTTCAATGCGTGGAAAAAACTCTCCAACACCGTAATTGAGTTTACTCTATCGATCTGACGTTATACTCAAACTCGAAATAAATAACAACATTATAATGCCACCGATGACAATATCAATCGACGTTTTTGCTTCATGGTCTTTTGTAAACTAAAATCCTCGTGAGCCTATGATGAACAAAAGCTCCGGGGCATATGCAATTTGAGAACACGCTTATAATAATGATTTATTTTGTCCAAGACGATAGTTTGTCAAAGCACTGAGACTATTATTATTATTATCACTATTATTATTTTCAAAAAAAAAAAAAATCGGTATTTAATAAATTATGTAAAAATCGTTTGTTTTTTTTTTGTAATATTTTACTATTGTAAGATTAAACGTTGGAGACTCGATCTTGTATTGGAATGCATTTCAGAAACACCCCCATTTATTTTTGTTTGTGTATGTAATTTAAGTTTAAACCAAAACTTATTACGCACGGTTGTGTTAATATATATATATATATTAATATATATGCGAATAAAGTCGTGCCCAACTCGTCCCGACTACCAAGTACAAATATATTTTTCTTATAAGAGTTCTTCCGTTGAGTTTTAAAACGATTTAACTTAATTAACATAGGTATCAAATTCGTTAAGTTGGAATTAATATATTTGTTAAAGAGGTACCGCCACGTGGCCTTATACGATACGTTATGCTAATATTTGGATATTTAGGATATTTTGCATGCTATATACATATTCATAAATGTGTTCAGCTTACGAAAATGTATTGAAGAAAAAGAAAATTGGAATCTAAATTATAAACTAACTCTCGTGAAATGTACAAAAGTATAAATTCTAGAGTATGTGTATAGCTTAGTATTGAGAAATACTGCAAGGCCAAATAGTTTTACAATAATCCTATTTTGATAGTATGATACCAATAGAATTTGGAATATTTGTAAGTCATAGTCAGGACATCTATTTATAGTAAGGTCTTGTTATCCTATTGTTGAAACATTATATGATTACTAAGTAAAATCGATGGTATCGAGAAAAAAGAATCTAGTTAAACTTTGTAATAATTTGTGTTGTAATTTGGCTTACAATTGTTGGCCCTAAGCCCAATACACTGTATTACTTAAATTAAGTTGAAGCTCTTCATTGCCGGAAGATGCTTTCTCAAATTAAAGTGCTTTACTCCTCAAATGTATATAAATGTACTTTTTTTAAAAACAATTGAAATTTTTAGCAAATATTTGAAAACTCGAGAATATTGTATATACTTTCAATATATACATATACATATTAATTAATTCTTATTCAAGACAACGGAAATAAAAAAAACAATATCCTTAGTGTTCAGATAAAATTTAAGTTGAAAATATGTTTTTATCTCTTTTTGTTATATTTGTATTTCTTGTATAATTGATTATAAAGTTGTAATCAAAAATGTCATCCTGCTTAGTTTGTTTATTTTACATTTATAACAATAAGTAAGTATAGTAATTTTTTTTTTTTTAATTACATCTCTTTATTATTGTTATTGGCCCTTTTTAAATGTTGTACACTTTTAATTATAAATAAACAACAAAATGTTAAGAAAAAAGAATGATAACACTATTTTAAATTACATAATAATATACTCACGTTTAACATTAATAGGAAAAAGTCAACGGTGTATAAAATTGCTGTTGGTGGATTAAATTCAACCTGCAACATATTTAATAAAAACATTTAGTATTCATACGGTAAACTGTTGATATGGGAGTAGACTAGTGGTTATATGATCATTCTCTTACTTATTCAAAACATACATACTTGTCTAAAAATAATAGTAAATTGCCATTTATATTTTTTAATAAAACCACCTCCTAATTTTTTTTTTAAATTCATTGTGTAATATATCTATGTAAATGTAGAGAATTCTATTTAATGTATACTATGTTTTTACTATAACAAAAAATAATTAGAACAATACGATATTAATTTATAATTTTTTTTTAACAATATAGTTATTTTAGACATTTCTATTATATTTAAATTTTACATATACAACGTAAACTACTAGGAATATATAGGATTTTCGTAAAATTATTTTTGGGTTTGACTTTAGTGTCATCGCTGTACCACTTTGAATACATACATAATCTATAAGGTGTAGTCAACCATATATATATACTCGTATATATTATATACCATAATAATCAACCATAATATCAAATTAGATTTTCTCGAAACTCTTTTAGAGTATCTTGTATAAAACATATTGTATTCGATGAAAAAGCGCGTGAGTTTATAATATTATTGTCATATTGATTTGTCGCTTCGACTAAACAGGTCAATTCGGTTGTTGTAAGTTACTGTATACTTTGTCCAATAGGGCTGTAAACAAAAATGGATCGTACTACACCCATTAGAGTTATAGAGGTACGAATTTAAAATACACTAACACCGTTAGTGTGGAATTGTGTACTGTTAATATTTATTAGATCATATTAAAAAAAAAGACGGTCTATACATTATGAGTAGACCAAACAAATACCGATTCGAATGGAGTACACCAGCAATATTATTGTTCATTATCATATTGCGACTCGACCAAACAAAAGTTACACTCAAGTAATTCACTGTAAACAACATTCATTGCCGTCGACCGCGCAGTTACATAATTTCATACACAATGGAAAAAAGCGATTGTTCCCCTCTAAAAGTCTACGCCTTTGGTTTTCTTAAACCGTTACAATATTTTCATCGTCTGTATATTATACTATATAGAAACATTTATTATTTGTTTTTTTTTATTCTAATAACACTTCTTTTGCGTCAAATAGAAATGACTTTAATGGACTTCTCATGCCACTCCGTCAATTGACAAACAATAGGTACGTCATAAAAAAAAAGATTCTTTTCTGTCAAACGGTTTTATAAATTGTTGTTTGTTTTAAATGGTTATTTGCAAACACCATACAATAACATTTGTTAAATAATAAATATATGTATTGTGTTGTCAAAATATTTTTTATAATAAAACTATTTGATGGTTGTTGATAAATACGTCTACTATAACAACTTGGATGTGGAAATCATTTTATATTAGATTTATAAATAAGACTTACTATTGTAGATGTTTTATTGTTTTTAGAGTATGTGTGTGTGTGTTTAAATATTTACTAGAAAGGTTTGAACAGGTTTGCAAATTTTACAATCGGGTTATTTGGTAGCTCATTTAGAATATGAAACTTTCAAAACATTTGTGTGATACATTATGTAAATATTTTTTTATGAACTCTGAATAAAAGCTACCCTATGATTTTCTTGCTAAACATATTGTTCTTCGTGGATATCGATATGAACGTGTTGAAGTCGTTGTGGGTGTTTTTATGATATCTCCAATAAATAATAATTACAGACATATCCACATGAACCGTGAACGCGGATATATAGGTACTATAATAATAATATAAAAATCTATAAAAATTTCCACACATCTCAAAACCCGAACGATTATATCTTTATACAGCCCCATCCGCACCGGCTAGAATCATTACTGACGGAACAAAATTCGAACGGATGTTCTATAATAATATTTTATAATTATTTTCAGATCTCGTAAAGCAGCTTCCACGTGCTGTTGTAAAACCATAAACCCTGCCAACGAGTCGTGTACTTTTTATTGTGATTTATTAACAATAATAATTTTATTATGAAAGACATCATAAAATTCCAAGCGACGGAACGCAACGAGCGTGCGAGAGATTTTTTTATGGGTGCGTTAGATGTTTCATTAATAATAATATTCTTCTAACAAAAGCCACCAATTATTATATTATTATGACGTCCAACGATGTCTCTGTTGAAAGCTTATACCCGGGTATACCTCTATCCAACATAAGATTTAACATTCACAGCCTAAATAATTCAGTAAGTAAACAGTGCTATTATAAAATAAAAGAAACACATGTGCGGAATAATATCTTGCAATTTGGGCGCCATTTGGAATAGTAATAAATAGTAATGTACAACTATGCGAGTACACACAGTAGGATCGGTCCAGACCCAGATGGCGTTTTCATGTATTTTTTTTACACTAGATTGTAATCAAAGACCGGCAAAAGGATCAAATCACCACTGTTGATATCAGTAAGTCTAACATATTGATATATAACATATCTGACTGGTCGATTTCCTAATTATTGTTATTAACTGCTATTGCCGTTGTATGAAATATGTTATTTTTTAAGTAAATCAAGCCACCACCAACCTGGGAGGAGCTCCTCGGAGAGCAACATATTGTGTAGTGTTCGAGGCAAGGGTGGAATGATGTAAATTTCAAAGAAATAACTTTTGGTTATCGTGGGTTTATAAAAGTAAACTCCAATGGTTATTACTGGATATGGTTTACACGTGGCACGAAATTTGCAAACCCGGCCAAATGGTGGTGGCATTTGAACGCGCTCGCGGAAAAAATAGTAAAAAAAAAAAAATTTGAAAATGTTCGGCTTAGGCCTTTTTTTTATTCCCCGTCCATTGTAGCTGTTGTATCCCGTTGGTTTTTCTCCCGTACATCATCGACACACAAATTGACTGAAAATTTAAATTTCCATTTTCTTGTTATACGTATAAAAAAAAAAACACGCAACCGACGCGGCCGTTATATTGGAAATGCAAACGGATAAAACGAATTTGTTTCCTTATCTAGGTGTATTGTAATTCCGGACGTGCTTGCCATACAGAGATCGACGAGACAAATATGTAGGCACTGGCAATCATTGGAAGAACGACTCAGCCGTCGCATATAAATTATATAACGGTTCTGCTCGTGTCGATTCGTCTTTTCGGTAAACGGTTATGTGATTTAAAAGACAATCGCCGCAATGCACGCTCGACATGGTCAACGGTATCCATAATAACGTCTTGATCATTTCCCCGCGATAACCGATAAAGCTCCATTAACATTATCTGGTAAAATTTCACCACTACCACGAAACAGGTCGGCGGTAAAAAAAAAAAAGTTTGTCTCGTTCAAAACTGCAGTTTCCATAAATTAAATACTTTTTCCAACAAATTATAGGTTTTTTTTTATTTTTTCTCGACTTGGTTGATGTTAATAACTAAATAACGACATAATATAAAGATATAGTCGTTTCCACGCATAGGTTTATCATAATATTATTTCCAAAGGAATTGTACTTCATTCGTGTATTTAAAAAAAAAAAAATAATTCTTATAATATTATAAAACTGTATAAAAAGCCCAGCAATGTTGTATGGAAGTGAGTGTTGAGCAAAGAACAAAAATAAATAAAAGGAAAACAAAAGTAACTGGTATGGAAAAATTAAGACGGACGTGTGCAGTGATTAGGTTAGACAGAATACGCAATGTGTATATAGGAGGAATGTTTAGGGGAATAACAATGGCCGAAAAAATAAGAGAACATGTGATTTGGACATGTTGAAAGGAGGAAGGAAAATAAAATACTAAAACGAGCAATGAAGAGATTAAAATGGTTGTTCGAGGGGTTTTAAAACCAGCTCTAGCTATAGATAGACCGAAGAAGAATTGGGAAGTTCACATCCACAAGTCGTTTAATACACGTGGACGTGTGGAGTTAATAAAGAAATAGTGAAGAATAGGAAAACAGAGCACTTGGCAGACCGATTCAATTTATATGAAAAAAGTGAAGAAAAAAAAATATTAGAAAAGAGTTAGTGTACTTGAATTCACAATATGATTGTATTTCCTGTTTTTCGGGCGGGGGGGGAGGAGGGCTATTTTAAACACCATAGAGACGTTTTTGTATGTACGGGCCGCATTACATTTATATGAATTTCGCACATGAGTTTGAAAAAATAAATATATAAGGGGAAAATAAAGCTGCGTCAAGATGTAATAGGGGACAGTAGAGAAACCTGACCTTTTTGTACACGAGAAAAATCCGTACTAGTAATAAGTATTTCAAAGATTGAGTCCTGGCTAAATGTATACGACTAACACAGCCATCATAACGTCAATCAAGTTTCATAGCTCAGTTTGAATTAGTAAATAAGAAGTTTGCATAGTATATCGGTTAAAAATGCTATATATTATCTCTATTTATGCGTAATATTGTAGTGCAGCAAAACCAATTTAATAATATATATTATCTTGACAAGGTAAAAAAACCTTGTCTAGTGTTTACAAAATGATTAAGTTATGTAAAAAAAAATAAAGGAAATATACTATAAAAATAAAATAAGCGTTAAGATGGGAATTTAACGTAAAATTCACATACTATTCATAGTATCACGAGTCTGGGAATTTTGAATTTTTTCTTAAAGGATTAGAGATGGATTTCAAGTACATAGGTTTGCCGTAGCGGGCCAGGCTCGGGTCACCACTGGGTTAAACCCAATTGACCATAAAATCGCTTCTTTGTCATGCAAAACGAGAATAACAAAGTGTTTTTACCGACTTTTCTATACCATTAAACAGTTTGTGCTATCGTACGGTGATATGGTGCACATTGTACAGCTGTTGTGTACTACTGTTAAACGTCAAAGAGCCGTGACCGGGCTGCACGACCTCGTGGATATGAACGCGGTAGAACTTTGGGCAAACGACCGTTATTTGTTATTTAAATCGATCAACGTGTCATGTATCGGGGTGTTGATAACCGCGGTCGGCCGGCTGTACGAAACAAATAAAGCAAGCACGGTCAAGCTGCCTAAAATTGGCCGTCTCGAACAAATTTCGCTCGGACAGCTTATCCGAAGCCGGTGAAAAGTTTGTCCGGAAAACAATTACCCGACGGTGGGAAACTAATTGCCGAAGTTATAAGCGTTCTTAAAGGGTCCGTCCGTCTTATCGTGAGTGCCGCGTGACCGTCACTCGTTGTACCCACCCTTCACCGTAATACCTGGGGGGGGGGGAGGGTTCAATCTGCGATCGGGTCACGTGTGCCCAACAGTGGTTAAGTTAATTATTTATAGACCGGTCCGCGACGAGATTACGGATTTTTCGATAATATTTTTCCACAGAGCACCGCCGCGGCAGGCTTATATCCTTTGTTCGATACACATCGTATTACCGTGGAAACTTTCTATTTGTTATTTTTCAATTTTCGCCAACCGCACGAAACGCGACACAACGAACAAAAATGTTCTCCGCCGAAAATTGTTCAACAGCGACGGTAAAATTTTAATTAAATTCCTCGCGTCTCGCCTTAATTGATAAAACTATACATAATTAAAATAACGAAATACGGCTACAGTGTCGCGGAGAAAATGTTTTAATTTACCAAAAAATAATTTGGAAATTGTGACTCGACAAATTGTAGTCATCGACAGTTTTCAAATTTGCTTTGCACGGGTTAACGCGTTCACGCATTCGAAAAATAATAAACAGTCGATTTTTTTTAATTATGATATTTAAAAAAAACAGTGTATACATATTTTTTTATTAAAGACGGCTACAAGAAATCCTGGAATTCATTTAAAAACGCGTCAGAAATTATGCACGGTCTTTTTGCTGTAGGCTATTGCATATTCAATTTCGCGATAACTGTTAATGGTGAAACACTGTTTTAAGTAATACTGACATAAAAGCAAAAGTACCCTGGGCGATGGAATAAAATGGTCCAAAAAGGGTTTATCGTTTTTATCTTTTTACTAAAATCTAAAACAACCCCTAGAGCGTCAAAACTCAATAGGTCACTGATGTACTCTCAACCGTCTCGGGGGAGAACGCTAGAACTACATCAATTTATTTTTCATGAATACTATATTATTTTCAGTTGCCGAAAGGAAACTTTAGCATTATGACAAAAAAAATATCCGTTTTTTTTTTGTTGACAACCAAAATTACTGCTTATTTTCCACAATAATTAAATTGGATTTGAAAAATATACTTAAAATATTGTTTGTCCATAGAAACCGGAAGACCGGTCTAAACGGAAACGTTATTACTATATATAATATACAAGTTTACTTGGGGATTTATAATTAATAAAAAAATACTTATAGGATAGATAGTAACAATTATCTATCACGATATAGTAAACTTTATATTTATATTAATAACCTATTTACTATTAATAAAATGTATAAAGTAATGTACTCATACAATAGCAAATATATTGATTTATAATTTAAAAAACAAACTAGTCCTTAGTACTAAGCTCTCGGAAAATTGCACTACATATACTTAAAAAAATCGCGCAAAACTTTTTACATTTCTATGTGAAGTTTAAGAAACTAACAAAAAAATTTTTTATTAAAATTAACATAAATATTAGCTAAAAGACTCATGTTTGATAAAACTTTAATTATGTAAGTTTTGTTGTCGATACCTTTGAGGCATTTAGTGTGAGGAAAGTATAAAAAATACAAATAATAGTGTAAGGTCCTCTTTGAAATTGTGTTTGCAGTATCGCCAAAGTTCAAACAAATAATTATTCAATTCTGACGGTTATTATTAATATATATTGATTTTTTACTTAAAGAATTTCTACTACGATTGTATATAGTATAAAGTAATATAATAACTGCTATGAAGAATAAATGAAATTATTACAGAATAAGTAAGTTCAGATGTATAATAGTAACACCGTTTAGCCGAAATATTTTTTGGTCAGGAGCAATATTCGATTTTTATTATTTTGTTTCGCGTGTCCCGAATGCTATTATTTTGCATACCCAAAGCGCCGTGCGATATTATAAATTTTAAATTTTAACAAGTATCTCGGATATTCCTACAAATAATATATATATATATATATATATTAGTTTTAATAATTAATATATTCTTATTTTCTCATTACTTATGAAAAAAAAAATTATATTATTTTGTAACGATACTGCATAGTTAGTTATCCGTTTACGGAAAATATAAAATATCTAACGTAATAAGATTTCCAAAATATAATTATTAATTAAAACGCTTAGTTAGAGGCCTTTAATTTTGTAATGTACGAACAAAACCAAATTTGACTTACTATAGTATACAGTTCTACTCAATTAATTTATGTAGTGAATACAACGCATATAACAACAAATTACTGTTTAATAATTGTAGTCGATGTTTTTGTAATACTAAATCTAAATGAATATTACCATCTGATGAATAGCACTGAAATATATTAAATTAAATTCCCTGTACACGGAGCGCTTGTTGAGCTCAATTCAATATCGAGTATGGGCGTATAAGGAAATGTTAGTGCTTATTTTTTTTTTTATTAATACCAAATACCAAGCGATAAATTCGCACGTTTCAAATAGGAACGGGATTTATTTATTTTGCGCTAATAATAATAAGAATTAAAATCGAATAGAATGATTGCGTTGATAATCTATAAATATAATAATATTATAAATACCGTGTCCAACCCGTACAAGTACACGGAATGTGCAACGTCGACAAAAGTCGCTGTGATCATGGCGAAAATCCACGGTACGAACATCACCCTGAGATCCTGTAAAAATAAAAATAAAACGATTTCAAAATGTGTGTGATTAAGTATACTGCTAAAATATAAATGGCCCAAGAAATATTGCTTTTATATAACAAATGAATAATGTCAGTAGCCCTTTTAATTTTTTTTTTAGTGTTACAAACGAATATTGATATTTTATATTAATTAAGATTTATTGTCAAAACTAACCAATAGGCAACGCGATTACTATAACTGCTATAGTGACCACTGATACTATTTAACTACAGTATGAAATTCACCTAGTATTTTTAAGGTACTTCTGTTTATCTATATTTTAAAGTCAAACAATCAATGTTTCGTAAACACCGCAATCGAGAAGGCTTGACAAAGCGGTACATTAAAAAAAAAATATATAATCGAATTTAAATATAGTTTTCCTGATGGAATATAAACAAGCGTACTTTGTTGTACACTGCTTTCATTATGATTGCTTCTTATTGTAGTCTAAAATCTGACAAATTGGCATTACAGCGGATAACACCCTTACACAGTTATATATAACTGTTATAGCGTTTAACTTAAATTTTGATTGAAGATTTGCTGAGCTTTTCATCAGAATAAACGAGATTTTTTTTTTTTGAGAGAGTCGAGATAGTTTAACTGTACTTCTCGAGGTACTTCAAATGCATTTTAAGTTAGATCGGCGTCGTTTATTATTATCCTGCACGTCGGCGCGGCATTACTATTTGAACGCGTTTAATGATGCAGAAAGAGGAAATTGGATTTTCCTCAAGAGACTCGCTCTGGCCCGTACAATTCCACAATACCCAAAAGTAAGAACACGGAATGTTATCCTAAACAAATCTCAACATATTACAGCATGTTTAAACGGTCACCGAGAAGGCCATTAAAACATCTTATGCCGGGCTACGTGATTTCTTTTTCATAATCCATTAGGCAAATGGGTCCGGGGTTAATATGAGTACGGTTAGATTTTTTAACCTTTTTAACTTTCGTTTACCGTCACAACCTGCCATCGCGTCCCCAATGTTGTCTGATCGTGATTTTTTTAAACGTACAACATACACATACATATAAACTATTGTATTATGTAAAGAGATAAAGATGGATAAAAATAGAAATAGATTCATATGCGCAGACCAGTATATTATAATGTAAATATATCACAAAGGGGATGTTTTTGAGTGCAGCGTAGACGCGGTCGCAGTATAATGTGGAAACGCGAATTGTCGTTATAAATCATCTCACGGGAAGACGTTACCCGCAGTGCATCGTAATGGTAAAGCCTGACATTTTTTATTGTCCATCTTGAGTTGTTTACAATGGTAGTGTATTTACGATTAACAGCGGAAAACCCGGTGCGTAGACGTTATGGTGTTTTCGGAAAAATACAGTGAACATAATTTCGTTTGTTCCAGGCAAACGCATTTTTCGTTTTGACAAGTCCGTTAAGCCATAAAAATCGCTAGAACATAATTATGCACATAGAACACATACGCACAGAACAAATCCCATGTTTAACAGGGCATTATGTGTTCAGACAAAGACTTAAGCTGTAACATTGAAGCTAGAAAGCTAATTTAATATTAAATGCGTTCAAGCACGGGGCGCAAAGTTATATAAAATAGAAACACATTACTCCTTTTGAATAAATGTATGAGAGCGAGATATTAAATAATCGGTAGGAAATATTGCATTTATACGGTTGTACAGTTTAATTTTTTACCACCTCGGATGTAACTTTACACTTTGAGTTTTAACATGTGTACAGCGAGTACTAAAATAATGCTTGTACGAGAAATCTCCCCTACAGATTATAAGAATATAAATTGTTAAAAGTGCGCAATTCAAAAATATTATGTCATAATTTACTTTTTATTATTTAGAAAAAAGTGGGTGGCCGTTTAAATGACACGTGTCGATTCTACGTGAGCCTTCTTTGTGTCCGGTAGACTTTCATTACCGAATCTTACATCGGCCAGCGGTTGTATACAAAACTAAAAAGGACATAACAACTCTAACGGGGAGTTAATTTTATCCATCCCACCATAATACAACAATCAACTGCTAAATAATTAAATAACACCAGATAGCTATTATGTTTGACATAAACAACGATATTAAATTACAACAAATAATGCTGAATAGCAGATCCAATTTGATAAACTGCTATAAAACGATAAGAATCTAAATAGAAATGCGATAGTAGGTAATAAAAAAAGCCAATTTATTCGTTTCAGCTTTTGTTATAAAAGAAAAAATCTTGTATACGGCATACCAAAAGGAACCTGTGTTCTATATGTTGTTTGTTTGCTATTATATGTGCATTATGCATGACGATTTCCTTTTTTGTTTGAATGGCCAGAAAAAAATGTATTTGAAACATTTCAAGTGTGATGTTTTCCTCCTTAAGAGAACCGTAATATTTTCTTACTTTGACAGTATTGACACCATATAAACAAACTTTATTTGGAGCGGAAAAATCCATATCTAGGCATTTTTCCTCCCGGTTTTTTCAGAAACGTTTGATTATTTTTTACTGTAGTCTGTAACTAAGGCAAGATAACATCTAAATTTATTATTATAACAATATCCATAAAAACTATTTTTCGTTACACTTCTCAAATGTCATTAGAGATTAAAATGTATTGTTTGCTTGAACATTTACAAATAATAAATTATAACTAATGGTAATTTATGTAATATTTACATTGTTAATGCTTTATTATATATTTATGTTTTTGTGCCTGAAATACAATTGCACTAAGTTCTCTTATTGCTCGTTATTCAATACTATTTTAATTCCTTATAGCCATTAATTTGTTAAGTGTTTTTTAATTAGATATTTATCATTTATTTATTTTACTGTTTTATTATGTACGTTTTTTAACACCATCTTTTCGATTATAATCGCCGTTTCTTTTTATTCTACAATACATAATAATTAGCCGTCAATACATATTCATTAAAACTTAAAAATACATAATATATTAAAGTTTGTTACTAGTTATGCTTTGCATTATTATTCGAGTAGTATTATAATATATCACAATGATGAATGATTAGCTGATACTGATATGTTTAATTATTGACCATGAAACACATAACAATATACATAGAAAAACTTAACCAAAGAAATAATCCTTACAAAAAGTGATTTTTTTTTGTTAGGTTTCTCATACACAGGTATTGCAATATAAATTTTTGTAGGTCACTGCATTGGATAAATTCTATATAAATTATGTTGTTCCAATTTCTTGAGCCTTATATTATATTAATATATTAAAGCAGTTTCCAGAAACCAAACAAATTGACATTGAACCACCCAGGCACTTATGTAACAATCTTATAACTATAATTATATTCGTTTGTTTGCGGCTAAAGATAAACAAAATATATAAGCGCTAAAATTATTTCTAGTCGATTATAAATAGTGTAAGCTCGGTTGAAATACTGTCCCCCGAGAGACATAAGTATGAAAGACCAACGTAAATTCCGAGAGTTGTACAAACATAACACTTACACACGTTTGTGTTTTGAAGAAAATATTAAATTTATTGCGTTTTAAACTTAAGTTAATTGTATTACGGTTACAAGTTATATAAACGCTGGTCGCTGGATAGCTAAAGTCAATTTTGCAGGTACTATTCGTTTAAGGCGCTGTTAATCAGCTGTACTCAAAAGTGTAAATGGAACAAATAACATTGTTTGTCAATCAAAAATGTACATATTTAATTATTAGGTATAGATTTCAAATGCTTTACACTTTCATTTGCTTTTGCACTATCTATGAATCCACTTATATACTAACACCGTTACTTCTTTAGCCTAATTCTTCCCCTACTTTCTTTTTAACTGCTTAAGTATATTTTATTTTACTCTTTTATAAAAAAAACAAATAAGTAATGACTTATCTAAACCATCTTTCATCTCGCATTACTCTTCTTTTGCTTGGTATTGATGAAACTCCCTATTTATTTTATAATACTATTTCAAACTAAATCTTATCGTGTATGTCACGCATTCAACTTAAAATTCTAATTTCCGCTTCTTCTATTTTGCTCATATTTCTCTCTTACAACCAACATTCGATTTCAACTTTCGTACAACATCGTCGACCTTGCAGCTACTCTAAATAATAAATAATCAACCTAAAAAACACAATTTTATCATGCTGCGCAGCTGTGTTCTACCTACCACGAGTCTAACTACACTTTATTTTAATGCCCATTTATTATGCTGCTCAATTGTTTAATTTTCATGCATAACGCAGAGCCTAAATACTTAAATTTACCCATCCTATTAGCCATGCCTAACATTTATTTTTGTATTTTAATGGACGCGCTCAGGATTTAATGGTAAGTAATTATTCAACTTTATTGTTGGAACTAAATATACCACCCCGGATTCAAAAACACCTCTATTACAGTATTCATTTATATTTTAAAGAAATATCTGGTAAATTGTATAATTGTACAATGATAAAAAAAAATACATTTTAAAATAATGGCATTTCTTTAATAATGAATCATATTACTCGATATGTTATAATATTTAATAGATGGTAATCAACCAATATTATTTATGTTATACATAATACTAATTTAATATTTTATTTATAAAGTATATAAATTGTATGCACTATTATTTTATAATAACAGAGCATGGATTTTATTTTATACACTATTTTCAATTATAATTTTCTGAAAATACATATATTTTTTAACGCTGATAATATATTACCTAATATAAAAACGTTCTAAAGAAACAGTACGTTTTCACACGTGTCTGCTGTAAAATGCTATTGATTTTTCTTCAGTGTGAGTGAGATTTATTAGACGATGAACAAATTCGGTGTGATGTGGTAAAAAAAACCTCGAACAACAGTTTTAAACGCATTTATTTTCGAAACGATATTCACTTTGGGTAGGTACATTTACGTCACTGTTGAAATTACGCTGCAAAGCTGATTACATTAGTTTAACGTCATACTAATGTTTACCTTTAGGAAAATAACTCATAAAAAAAAAATCTTATAATCCATTATACATTGTATTTTATATTTGTAATACATTTAATTTAATAAAAATGTTATGTAATTATGAAAAGTTGTTTTTCATAATAATTTTACATAATAAAATATACATCATACACAATCGAACTAAAGAATTAAACCGAAATCCGCACAAACTAAACGATAAATAATTTTGTTATAGGGCATAAAGCAGTTAAATTAAATATAAACTCAATTTAAATATAAAGCATTAATGATGTATATTATTTTGTGAGTTTGACGTGTAACCAAAATGTAAAATACATACTACATATTATGTGAAACAAAATTGAAAGAAGGTAAGTCTAAAACGTCAGAGTTCAAAACTTAATAAGTTTTCACATTATCCTAATATACTTATCGACGAAATAACTTTGAATGTCTTTGTCTGTAATATATTTGTGATTAAATCTGCCAATTTTTTTTTTAGTTCAACGCATATTGTTATTATTATTTTTAAGCTTTTATCCTTTTCCTTAATATTATGCTGAACGTGTTTTAATACAAAGTTAGATTTACATGACTTTTTTTAACAATTGTTTTATGTAATAAAACGTATCTATTTATAGTACTTGATTTTGAAAAAAAAATCCTAAATATTTTAAATATAAATTATATTTGTGGTCGCGGATAAAACAGTATGATGGCTCTAAAGTTAGACACTTCTCGTCATAATAATGTCATTGTTATTGATGGTGATCAGAAGGGGGACTGTAAAAGGCTAAACCCTCTCAAGTGTTTAAAAACTCTGTAAAAAGATTCCTGGAAACTGGAAAGCTAAACTGCATATTTTATTCCAGCACTTTTCCTATTTGAATATAAGGATTAAGTCTCACCCTTTTACTTGATCCCCGCCTATGGTACTGTTTTCGTTTTCACAAAATACATTTTTATACTTAAAACATAAAATAAGTATTTGACATAATTTAACAAGTGGCTACAGAAACTAAAAAAAAAAATTAATAACAATATCGATTTTTCAAAACTAATTTCGAAAGATAATGAAAAACCATATTATAATAAGTGCTATTAATTAGATATCTCACGGACAAATCGAAAGTTCTCATTTAATTAAGGGAAATAGGGTCGTCTATAGAAAGCTTCGAGGGAATTTCACCGAAACTACCATATTGTAGAGGTATATTGTATTATATAGGGGTGTATTGTTCAACTATATTTTACTTGTGAAAGTAAAATATATCCATTCAAGACTACAATCATTACATTCATAACCTACAAAGGTGTGGCGCGTTATCTACATCTTTTTTACCGACAGATATCTTATCCCGAGGGCAGTATTATTTTGCACCACTAGTCCAAGTTGCTATCCCTGGGGCTTGGTACAGGAAAGGAACGTTAGTCATCCAATATGTGTTTCTGGTGTAATATCATTGTACCTAATGAACGTCGAGTCGCCCCGTGACGAAAGAAAGATAGCTCGCTTGGCGTTTCTATTGAACCGGCACGTTCGTTTATTTCAAAAGATGAGCTCCGATTGTTGCGCAGATATGCGTTTTTAAATCCTTTTTTAATCAGGTCTCTTCGAGTTATTCGTCTCCAGCCGTTTCAGCGCGTTAATATTTTAAGAGATTTTTGTAAAATCAATATTTCCATTCCTCGGACTTAACCGGACCAAACGACGGAATGTCGACAATCCGCAGGGATTGTGTCGGATTCGCCTGTTCGAGGATTAATTAGCAATTTAGATACGAAATTCATGACGTTGTTTGTATAATATACACTTGTACAAATATGCACGTCGCACGCAGGACACCCACGCAAATATTGTACTAGCCATCATGGTTTCCTCTATTATACTAATCCAAACAACGGTTATCCTGCGGTCGGCCTGCTAGTCACAGCATTGTTCGCATAATCGCTATATTATTCACTATAGGTGAGTACAATATACATATATTTGTTTGTTTATTTTAATTTTTATTCATACAATCTGTTACACAATGTACAACAATAAGCATAAAATATGTGGAGGATCTTCAATCGAGTTAAATAAAGATATTTTTTTCTATTCAACTAGCAGGTCACGATACCATCGTCTTTATAATCTTTTTTGGGGGTTGTCAGGAATAGTTATTGATGAGAGTTCAGAAATGAGAGGATTAGAATGATGACTTGTTCGGTTTCTAAAGCATTAGTAATGTAGTTTGGCAGTTTCAGACAAAGTGAAATGTTTAGGTCTTTGTAAGTTGAGTGATTGAAAACAGAATATGGGGCTTTACAAATAGTACGTAGGACTTAGGATTGCAATCTCTCTGAATACGGTTAGTGTTGGAGATTTTGGCTGCTCCCACAACTGTATGCCGTATGACCAGATGGGTCTTAGCTATAATTCGTAGAGTAACAGCTTGGTAGGTAGTTTTATATGTTTAGATGTTAGTAGCAGTCTGTTTTCAAGAAGTTTTGTATAGGTAATAGGTAATATTTAAGAAAAAAGTGGTTGTAATAAATTTCGACCATGTTAATTAATTTTTCGGATAATTAGTATAAGCTTCAAGGTATTATTTTTAATTTATATAATTTTTTCTATGAGTAAAAGTAATTTTGGCTTATTTTAGACCAAAAAGCTAAACAAAATGACGACTACTTAGGATGGTCCAATGTATATTATATACATATATATATATATATATTAACAACATAATATATTTTAATTTTAATTTTAGCATACTCACAAAATATATGCCCAGTAACAACACGATGCTGGTAAGCATGCCGCATCCGGCGCACACCAGCACTACCACGTGAAAAAGTACAGTGGCTGAAAAAAAATTACAACAAAGCTATTATATTATGGTAACCGTTTTTATTAAACAGCCTTAAAACATTCGCAAAGGCGAATCATATTTTATGTCTTTACACTGAGACTGTTACGTAATAGTGTATGTACAACATGCATAACGCGGCCGTTAACTGCACTTTGATCGGTTTAAACTTATCTGGAACACTATATATTGTCTTATATGAATATATGTGAAAAAAAAGTACACTGGCAAAACACGAAAAACATTTTTCCTTTATAAGATTCAATGGAAATGTTAGTATTATATAACGTTATTTATATCCCCCAAAAAAACGAGAAATATAAAACATATAAAGTTTAGTTTGGATAAAACAGTGTTTGGAACATTCCTACAAAAAGTATACCATTTCCAAATGCATTAGTTAAGTAAAAAACTGAAAGCACTCACATTCGCTTAAAAATTGAATGTATTAAAACCGTTTTAGAAATCAAATATATTTTTAAAAAAGATATATTTTTTTAATTTTGCTTTAAAATTGTATAGGAGCAATTAAAATCATAATATAATGATGAACATGTATTATTAGTCCTTACTCTATAAATTATGTAGATGTTGTTAAATAAAATAAATATATAAAGGTTATATTATAGTCTTCAACTTTTTCTATAACAAAGATTTAGGAATAAAAAAAAATAACACAAATTTGATGTAATACTTGTTTTTTAGAATGCCGTTCATTTTTCAAAACATAATGCGTTCACATTTAAATAAATTTCTTAAAAAAATAATGACATTCTAAGAATTCTTCCTAAAAATGTATTTTTTTTAATAAAGTAGTTTAATTGGGTTTTAAAACAAAAAGAATAATAATTTTCTTACTTTCTGACATTTTTTCTGGCTCTAAGAAACTTTTACTCTGTGGTGCGGTCCCATTTCCAGTCCAGTAAGGTCTTTCAAAGTGTAAAAATGACCCCAAAATACTGGTGTTGAGACTGAAATAAGCCTGAAACATAATTGTAATATCATTGTTAATAATAGAAATAATATAGTAACATTTATTAACTCTTATTCAACCGTGTATTTGTGCAATAGGGACAGCTAATTTAATATGTTTCCATAAAATGCAAAATATGCAATTAAATATAATTGACATGACTATATTTTATATTTATTGTTTGTTTTAGGGGAAATTACTGTTTAAATTAAATAAGTTTAGTTGAACGGTGTCTAATACACTATTTGTGTTAGACAACGAACATATAATAAACGTATAATTAGGTATAAATAAATTTCGAATAAACACATAAACCAATGTTTTTTTAAAATAAATAATAGACCATTATAACGCTATTTCTTATAGTATAAAACTTGAAATTTTGTTATAAATAATTCCATCCATAAAATCCAGGAACAACAATTATTGTACATGCCAAATGGTATACTGAGTTTGAGCAAACAGACTTGATTATAATTAAAAAGTTAAAACAATTTTGCCAACATTGTCAATATTAAAACAATTGTGTTTACTTTCGAGAATTTAAAAGTAAACAGAAATAGGAAAAAAGAAATCGAAATGATTATTTCTGATGATGTTACTTCTGTAACATAGCGTATACTTTATGAAATGTATAAATATCTTTAAAAACAATTTTTTTAAACAAGTTACCATAATTTTGATTGACCGAACATATGTATTCAAAGCATATTTGATATGGCAAATCAATGTTAAAACTGACAACGCCCTAGTCATGAAAAAAATGCAGAGTAAAAAAGTAGTTTTTTTTAGTATCCATTAACTAAAATTTCTGGTAAAACTAAAAATTGTATATTATATTAACTGCCAAATAATATATCTTGAAAATGAAAAATAGTATTCCTGTTCAAAACATGCAAATTATTATGGTTTCCTCATATCATATAGTTCCTTGCTTTAATTACTAAATTATGTACATTTTAGTATTTGAATTTCCCCGGTTATGTACTTGTGAGTTGTGTTGTTCTGGTTATCTATTGTCTGCCAAGTATTTATATATATTTGAAGTTTGAACGTTGTCAATTTACAACCGGTCGTCTTCAACTTAATTCAACAGTATTGCATTACATTAAACTATATAGATGCTCAAAATTCGAATTGTATATTGCTAAACTCATTTGCGCTGGTGTCTAACCCGTATATTATATATTCACAAGCAAATACTAGAGTTCAAAGAGAATTTGAGACGACCTATTTTGGTCCGTGTTCAATTGCATTAGACGCTTTTGGTTAATACGATTTCCGTGGGTCAAATAATACAATAGAGATAACATTTTGATTACTAAGTAAGTTTTAATAATTTCTATCGCCTAACATATTGAAATTAAATATACATCAATCAATGTTTCACCATAATTTTTTTAACCGCCTAAATAACGGCCATTTTAGAAAAAATAAGTAAAAGCAGTTTTTCCGAGGTCAAATTTCAAACAAACCGTGTTTAAATATAATATAAGGCTCTACGTTGTTAAAAGTAAGGCGCAAGCAGCCATTAAGTAGAAAAGCGTTAAGTATAGTTTCCTGCCACTGACAATTATTTCAACCTGTGAATTTTTAAAATAGAAAAGGAACTAATGACGGTTTTATTTACTTCTCAGAATTTACAATAATATAATTTATTGATGAAGTCAGTGCACGCAATTCGTTATTGTCAGGTTTCGCGTGTTATGGTACTATTTTTAAACAATAGAAAAATACATAAAACACTGAAAAAATTAGACAAAAAAAAAAAAAATTCCCTTGTGGGAAGATTCATTAACGATGGGACTATTTACAAATGTATTTTAGATCAACTATGTACTTTTGTACAACTCACTTCAAATTTTTTTACCAAGACCTTTTTTAGTTGTAATTTTTCTTAAGAAATTTTTTCCTTAAAGATTTATAATAATTTATTTAACCTAACTCGTTACCACAAAAATTTCGGATTTTAAAAAAATTACGTTTATTTATCCATTTTCAAGTCTCGTTTTCACACTCAATATAAATAGAATGTGTACTTACGTTCCCAGATAAAATTATATCTTTTGAAAATACTATTGTAACAAAGTCATTTAAAATAAAAAAATCCGAATTTTTCTGATTGGTTGGATTTAAAACATTTATTCTTCTAAATATTTTGTTTTAACACCTTTTTTTTCCATTTAATATCTATTTAGACACAACAATAAATATTTAAGCAAACACAAAAATAGGAGGATCTATATTTTTTAAATATATGGATTTTGAGAATTCCGTCCCTATGCATATAAAATACTTGATATATTATTTAAGACTTCATTACTGTTTATAATAGTTTGTTAGCGAGAGAAGATTTTACTAACCTATTACTTTAGCATGTCATAAAGTGAAGAAGAAGACTTTAATACTATTATTAAATAAATGCGTACGAAGACCGAGCTTATTTTCAATTTCGACACTTCCATTTATTATGATATTTCATTCATTTATGATAATTATGTTACGACTCTTGTTAATTTTTCATGCTACCGTGTTCTTGCCAACAAATGCCTTAATTAACGTCCTAAAGTTCACGTATTAAAAAGTCAGTAAAAAAGGTTATATAAATACAAAATTATGCAGTAAAATTAATAATTATGGTAAATTGTTTGACTTCAAAATAAAATGTATTATTTGTTTATAGGTATTATATAATATTTATATATTAATTATATAATTTGTAAATCTATGTTAAGGTTTCTGATCACACAAACCCCAAAGGCATATTTTCAAATCAAAAAGTTATGTTTTCTTTTTAGAAAATTACTGTGATTAATATTGTATTATTACTTTTAATTTACAACCGTTATAACAATAATTATAATTTATAATAGTTTTTTTTTTATAATAGAAAATTGCCTTTCCACTACATAAATCGATTATTTATAAATATCGAATAATGTTTTATAATTTGTGTTCCATGTTATCTTTTATTAAGTTACAAATTTGAGTGACTGTAAGTAAAAACTAAAAATATATTTTGAGTTTGAAGAGATATTTCCGATTAAAAAAAAAAAAAAAAAATTGTATTTAATAATATTAGTAGACATAATAAAAGTATTATTTCGGGACTGTTGGGGCGTAGCCTTTACACACGGTTCACTATTAATCTAATGCTACGTTCTCTTTTTTATTAATTTCCTAGACACGGCACTGAACAAAACGCATATTCGGTCTTCGGTTTATTATGATTGTTTTCAGTTGATAAAATAAGCCCAGTGCTATTCACCGAATCATTTCAAATATATTTACATTGTATATGTTATACTCACATCGGAGCCGTTTCGATATGAAGGATTTCGCCTTTTCCTAATACACTTATATAAAGCGGTCCCATAACGATATGCGATTACGTTAGGAAACTGTTTTCACCGATCAGCGGCTAAATTCCTATTTACAAAATATGCTTCGAACATTGGCAGAATAAAATTACATTGCGCCATATACATTTCGTCGAGGGATTCGGGTTTAAAACAACTGTCGGGCTGCTCAAACCAATGTGCATAATCATATTTTCAATTTCCAATTGCAGGATTAAAATAATGGTATTATTATATGGCTATTCGCGTTAAAAAACTGCCAAGATATTTTTCAATGTTTGGCTGTGCGCTGTATTTCATATTATCATTAATATTAAACGTTTCGATTTTCACAATAAAAACCTATTAGACAGCCAATGGTTTAAGCCAGCGAGGCTGACGTTTTGACAGTTTCATCAGACGCATCACAGGTTATTAAAGTTTGCCCGCATTGAATACAAACAGAATATTATAACACACCTAGTTCGTTGTGCGCAATATAATGCACTCATTAATTGCGGACTTTCATAGTTCATTCAGGAAGTAACGTTTATAGCGGGATAAAACTCGTATACAACCCCTTTTTATAGAACACATTAATTGAACACGAGGTATGATATCGGTACACAGCGAAGGTAGCGGTATAATATGAAATGTGTATAACCGATGTAGAAGCTTTATATATATATATTTTTTTTTTGCTGGTATCATTTCAAAAGCATTACGTTATTGCACATTGACCTACATACCAATGATAAATATAAAATGACTAATACAATAAAAACTGCGTGTAGATCATTATTTATCGGGACACACAGATACAGCAGATACAAAAGTTATCTTAGAAATCCAAATTTACCGACACGATTAGTTCCGCAGCACGTAAAATGATAATTCTGTTTTAAGGAAAACTAAAAAAAGCTATTGTTACATGTTGATTCGAATGTTTTGTAATAAATTAAAAAGAAAAACCATAATATTATCCCAATAGAAAAGTCCGTTAAATACTTGGGCACATTAAAACTAAAAAAATATCTTTAAAATTAAAACTCCATAGGACATCTACTGCGTACAAACATCTCTCTCTCGACAATACAATTCTTCTATAAAAATAACTTATTAGTCCTGCAAAAACATAACAACGCTTTAAAGATGGAATTAAACGTAAACATACTATTTTTATTAGATTTATATTAAAAACATATATTCATTAATAAAAAAATAACGTTTTATAACTTTTAACAACATCGTAGTTGCACACAGTCTAAGTATAGTACCAAATGCTTTATTGCTTAACATGTATAGTACACTATCTATATCTCATTATTATTTACTTTCCGTTTTGCGCTTTTTCTCAATATTGACTCTTTTTATAATATGTTATATTTTTTTCAAATCAAACAATATTCTACTGATAAAAAATACTTTTACCTAAAGGTAATTGGTGTATTATACAAATAAAATATACCATATTTTTTAGGAATCCTAACAAATTAAAATGAATTGATAAAATAAAGGTAGACAGTATTTGAACAAAGATACAAAACTATGTAGTGAAAATAAATTTAAACATATTAATGTGTTCGTTTATGTAAGGCACAATCCATTTGTATGACTTAAATTGTTTTTTGTGTATCCTACGTATCTTTGTTAAATCATTAACCATTTTCC